GAGGTATACATACTTCATGGCATTTCATGAGACATAGGTAATTGATGGCATTTCATGAGGTATAGATAATTGATGACAATTAAGAATTTGTACACCTACTTCATAGCAAGCCAAAAATTGTACATGTAAACAAAGGTAAATAGAGATCAAAAATGTAGTGGGTATACGTCAAAAGGCTGTTTTTGACATTAAAAACCAAAACTTTCAAAAAATTGCAATAAGAAATCCATAACTAGTTTCTGGTAGACAAAAAAATGTTTTTAACTACAAGAAATTTACTTGGTTAACAAATGGAAATGTAAGATCTTCAGCAAAGTACTAAATCGCGCTTTTCAAGAAATCTCGAGAAAACCAAAATCAAAAAATCACTTTTTGAATTTCCCGCTAAACTGGCATTGTGTTTCAAGCTTATAACTTTGCCATTTTTTAACTTTTAAGAATTTTTCTTTGATATACTAGTAGATAACCTTTAAATGAACCTACATTTTTAAATTCATAAGTGTAGCTTGTCTAGAAAGTCGAGAAAAGTGCTTGAAACACAACGCCAAATTTGCCAAATTGGCAGGAAATTAAAATTATTCAAATTTAAAACTCAAAAGCGCAAGCTAAAATTTTTTAGGGGTACTATTGGTAGTACCAAGAATTTATATAAAAATTTTGAGCTGACTCTGAGCGGGGCAGTAAATATACTACAAAATTCTCTTTCACATTCTGTTGCCTACCCACGTTCACCCTACATTGTCTATAAAGAGTATTTACTATGCTATTAAATATATTATCAATGCCTTTTCAAGGCCAACCCAAACAATGTAGATAACCTGAAAGCTCCCAATGAACAAATATACTTTTTTTCGAAAAAGTGGTAAGCCTTGTGGCTGTGTGAAGACTCTCTTTTGCTTTTTTCGGCCGCTTCTTTTTAGGGATGAGCGTCGCCTCCGTTCGTCCCCATAAGGAAGGAGGAATGTTTGGACAGCCGGTTGGAATTGAATTTCGAAAAATGAAAAAAAAAGAAGGATAATGCGGTACAGCGGATCAAGCAAAATTAAGCGGAACATGCAATGACGTTTTTTGATTTGTATTTTGTTTTAGAATTAACATGTCAAAGTTTTCGAAAATTCGTTTTAAAAATGCAAAGTTCTCACTCTAACAAGGAAAGTACCGTACCTGCCCCGCTCAGAATCAGTCAAAATTTTTATATGAATTCTTTGTACCACCAACAGTACCCATAAAAAATTTTAGCTCGCGCTTTTGAGTTTTAAATTTAAATTATTTTAGTTTCCCGCCAATTTAGCAAATTTGGCATTGTGTTTCAAGCACTTTTTTTGAGTTTCCAGACCAGCTACGCTTACAAATTTAAAAATATAGGTTCACTTAAAGGTATTCTACTAGTATCTCAAAGAAAAATCCCTAAAAGTCAAAAAACGCCAAAGTTGTAAGCTTAAAACGATGCCAATTTGGCGGAAAATTCAAAACGCAATTTTTTAATCTGGATTTTCTCGAGAATTCCTGGAAATCAAAATTTATTACTTTGCTGAAGATCTTACATTTACATAGCCTTTCTATATAAAAAGTTGGAAGTCAATCAGAGCGGTGCAGGTCAAGCATTTTTATAAAAAAATTTAAAAAAAATTTTAAATCAAGAAACACTTTAAAATTATTTTAAAAAAATATTTTCCGAACAAAAAAATTACGCTACCCTACCTCACCCTACTTTACCTTACCCTACTCTTTTTTCCGTATCTTATCCTGCCCTGCCATACCCACCCACCGTCTGCTCCCCCTCCCACGAATGTAGACAAACAAAAAAAAGAAAATTGCTAAATAAACCAATTTCATTGCTTAGCTACGACCAACTCCCAGAAAAAGATTTTTATTTAAAAAAAATCAAAAAATAAAACATAAAAATTTTGATAACCCTCCCCCCAAAAAGATATTTTTATCAATCAATCCCTTTACTCTGCCGCCCATTATAATGTCTAATATCGTACCCGCTGATTTACCGCCTGCCTAAGTGTTCGTCCGAACTTTTTTAAAAATAGCCGGCTCATCTGACTCGAAAAACAAGACTCGATCAAACAAACAAATTTCGACGAGCGATAACAACACATTCATCTTGGGTTTTCTTTTCCAGTTTTGCATTTGGCCATATGCTGATTAAAATTTGTATTACATCATGACATAATCTTGTTGAAATTAATGAGGCTGAAATCTGCGTGGAAGCTGCAAAATGGCAAGATGTGGCAAAGTTCGTGGGGTTCGAAAGAAACATAAACACATTTTTTTTTGATTTTAAAATAAACTTAAAATTTGTTTGCATGCCAGTCTTAAAAAGCAGAGTATGCAGAAGACTCTAGTTATAAGCAAAACAAGCCTTTTTCGTTCAGTATAGCAAGTATATCCCACATCGGCCATTTTCTACCTTACAAAATACAAGTTTTTAATGTACTTCGTTAATAAAATCCCATTTTTACCTTCATAAAGATTATACAATAAGTTTTTATTACGTTTTGACATAAAAATTTCAAAAGCCGTCAAAAAACGCCAAGTCTTTGCTAATTAAAACTGTATTATTACAATATTTTTTGCATCTTATTGCAATTTATACGTTATTAGGTTTCTGGAACTACATGCATTACGTTTTATAAGAACAAGTTTCTTTAACAAACTAGAAGGTACGCATTAGCCACAAATATAAATATAAAAAAAGTCAATTTCAATATCATAAAACTGTCTTCGCAGGCAACACACAACGTCCGAGCGGAAATTTTCGTTCAAAAAATTTAAAAAAATTTTAATCTTTATAAATCGGCTGAAAACCTCAATCAAATTTCTTCCATGCCTCCTGACGCTGGTCAAGACGTAGGACATCGCTAAGGAAAGTTTAGGGGTAGATGCAGAAAAACCTGTAGCGACGTCCCCGGTCGATGCTATCCTATTTTAACAGATATTATTGTAGTTTTGAAAACGGAAAGTAACCTTCAAAAATATCGTCGAACCACCTTCTCCAACTCCTAGCGAAAAACCTCAAAATTCTGTAAGAATCTAGAAAATATCGTCTAGACAGCCAAGCCAACTACCTTCCCCTACACCGCCCCAACCCACTTATCAAACTGACTTTTAGTCGGCTCGGCAAAAAAACCTTGCACTCACAAAATCGTCAAATATCGCAATACTCTTCAGAACTTGCTCTTTGCTCCGTTCCGTTTTTTGGCATTTGTCCACCTATATCCGATATCACGTGAACCGGTTTTTTTGGGGCCAGACGGCTCGCTGCGAAAAATAATCACGCGCTTCGAGGTGGGGCAGGTGCCAGTTCAACAGTTCGCACCAACTGTCCCATTCTCAGCTGATTTCGTAAAATGTAGGTGAGGTAGGGGTAGGGGGAGAAGATAGGTTGGAAAATGAGTAGGAGAAAGTAGAAGACGGTAAGAAAAGGGTAGTTGAATAATAGCAAAACTATGACAGATAACATAAAATTAATGTCAAAAAAAGGTATAAAAAGTACCACCAAAAAACGGTCGATATTCTGAAAAATTGTCAAAAATCTGCCTGTATAAAGAGGATGTCATACTATAGAGGTTCATACTAAAAACCTTACACTGTGATTTATAATTCAAAGTAAAACTCAAAAAAAAATCAATACCTCTAGCCAGAGAAGCAAATTTAAACCTAAAAAACGAAAGATTATAACTCCAAATAGCTCAATATTTGTTGTTGCAATAATTTTCTGCGAATAACAATAACAATCGAACAGACTTACGAACGGCTCGAAAGCTAGAGGCCGAGCTATAGGTGCGATTGTTAAGAAATGACATTGTTTTTTCGTCTGATGACATGAAATTGACGAATCTGATCAACAAACGTTTGATGAATATAAGGAGAGAAATGAGTAGCAAAGACTAGTGAGGAGCTTAGAGTGATGACTTTTGCTAAAAAATAGTATTTAAGTGACTTCTAGTACTTAATACCTAAATTAACTTCTAGTACGCAATACCTAACCATTTATTAGGTGCCGAAAAAAAGAACCCGCCATACTTTGCCTGTCATTTCCTGTAAAAAATGGCGGGTTCGTTATGTCGGCAACTAATACTCCACTATTCTCAATTTAACATTCATTCCCATTTTTTATTTTTTTCCATTTTTGAACTTATTTTTCTCTTCTATAACCAATTTTCTTTAAAAGATTTCCCAAATTAACATTAAACAAAAAAGAAAGAACAACCGACCTGTACCATTGCTAACGTATTACCAATCTTCATAATACATTATTTGACGTTGACTATCGAGAAACGTCTTCGGCCGTTCTTCGCGTACACATTCTATGAAAGCACACATAGAAGCTAAAACTAGACCGCAAATTAACAAAAAATAAGGCCACAAATCATAACATTACATTACTCATCCATTCTAAATCCAATAATACTACTCACAGCCCATACCGTAGCAATATAATATTAAAGCTTTAAGTTATCAACTGTTACTTAACTATTTACTAATAAAACCTTCAGGGCAACCGTAGCAATTATTTATCGCTTTTATCGCAAAAACAAAACAAAGTGAGCAAAAAATCATAAAATTATGTACAAAACAACGTATAAAATGTACAAAAGACAACATAAAATAAATAAAAAAAGAGTTAATGGTGAACAACATATGTTCAAGATGAAAAATTGAGAAATTATTAGTATGAAAAATCCCATTATAGGATACAACAACATCAATATTAGAAAGAAATAATAAAAATATTACGTTTTTGTGAGCTCCATAATAAAAAAAATTGAATTTTGTACAAAAAGGTAACAGATAAGATCGGAAAACCCCTCAAAATTCAAAACTTAAGTTAGGATATAAAATAAACGTTAGGCCTCATAGACAATATAAAAAAGCTAGCATAAATCCACAAAAAACAGCTAAAACTCCATTAAAAACCATGAAAAAATTAACTGTATAGTTCCTTTGTACTTTTCCTTGTACAACCTCCAAAAAAATCTTATCGCGTTTCAGAGTCCTTCAGCACTGTTGACATACTCACTCAAATCGATGTAAACGACCGACAAATCTTTGCTGTTTCGATGGCTCTCAGCCAGTCTTTCAACCGCACTCGTCCCGGTCCCAGTAACTGTTCCAATAATGATCTGAGCTCTGGTTGCACGAGTCAGAGCAACCAACAAACGCTTTGGAACGTCATAGGATGGCCATTCGCCAAGCTCATCGCTGATAAAACCGGTACCGTCAGTTCTGACCAGGTCAATCACGGCTACTAGAGCTTCGGTCGAAATAGCACGATCAATGGTTCGTGCTTTGACGTGGATAAAAGATGGATGTTTCTGACTGTGATAAAGACATTCTTGAGTAAAAAGGGCTTCTTGCACTGAAAAAACATTTTTATTTCTAAAATTTTGCAAAAAAAATTTTTAAACCTTTTCTGTAAACTTCATATAATTTTGGCTACATAACCTACAATATACTATTTGTAAAATGTTTCCTTTAATTCTCAACCTCTCTAACATGACATAAATCCCAATCCAACTTACTGCGATACGGAGTCAAATAAACAATGTCCTTAGCTCCAATATGATTGTTCTTCTCCTCCATAATAGCTTGAATCAACTTCCGGGCATACAATGCGTTCCGCAAATTCGTCAGCGAAACATTACGGTACTTCCCATTAGCACCATACAAACTGTTGTTCCGATCACCAGCAAATCCACGTGCACGGCCATGTTGATCAATTTCGTCCGCTTCACAAAAATGCTTGTTGCTGCTGTCTCTGGCAGATAAATTGATAAACAGCGAAGTGAATGGAACTTTCTCCAACAAACCCAGGATTGAGTTGGTTTCACCAGTCATGTCTATAGTAATTGGCCTGCGAACTGAACATCGGCTTGTATCCAGTACGAAGTCATAGTACGGTTGGACCAGCCTGACCAAAGAGGTTGGAGCTCGTGAGACCTGCGTCATTTGTGTGTAAGTAATGCCCATTTTTAAGAGTTCTGACATCGCAGATTCGTTGAATCCACATTGAGCTTCAGCACGGTGAAAAAGAAAGGTTTCTTTTGAAAATTTGCAGTCCAGTTGGAATTGGTCACCTAAAATAATATAAAAGTTAAAAAAATCATAATTTAAAAAAAGTTCAAAAACTCGTTAAAAATACCAAGTTTTAATTTCAAAAAGCTTTATATAATCCAATTAAAAACTAAAATACCCACCAAACATTGTCAAGTTCCTCAAATTCTTTCGCTCCCTTTCATTGAACACAGCCAACAAACCAAAAAAGCTCAAAGTCGAGACAGATGAAGCTTCATCAAACATGATGTGATTAGCATCAAACATCAAAACCTCGCTTGGGACTATCATGTTGTGAACCATGATCAGAATGCCAACTTCATTGAAGTTCTTACTCTCGACCGATGCATATCGTTTAATTTCTTCTGGCCTATCCTCATACAATGCGTCCTTTTCCAGCTTGTACCAGACAATGTTGTTGTTTCTGAGTGAGCGATAGGCTGGGCTATTCATTATGGTATTGGCCATCCTCACTACTCGAAGTGTTATTTCATCGGCCGCATCTCGTCGAGTTGTGAGAAGAAGAGATGGCTTTTTGTTGTGGAACCAGTTGAAAACGGCGAGAAAGCACATGATCAAGGTTTTGCCACTTCCGGCTGGGCCCTAAAATTAGTCATAAAAGACATATCATACTTGAAGACATTTTCATTATAACATATAACGTAACATAAATCAACCGATTAATTCTCATAACCATTTTTTTTTCAAAACGCCCTTAGGATAACAACATCTAAAACACAAAAACCCACCAAAATAACATGCAATTCGTGTTGATAAACCTTGACAGCGTGATGCAAATGCTCCTCGGAAAGTCTGAGTTGCTGAGGTATTAGTCCATTGAATTTTTCCAAATCTTCAAACTGTACCTCAGATTCAGAATCAAAGAAAACTGGCTGTCTCGGAGCGTAAAAGTTGCAAAATAACTCTTGGAAGTTTCTTGGAAATGTTTGATACTGCAACGGCCTGTTGATGATAGCACGTAGACGTTGTAGATGACGTTTCATGTCTTCGGCACGATGATTGAAGGACAGATACAATTTTGGACAAATGTCGCGGCGAAACCGTGTATTTGCTAGTTTGTGAATACGGTCGATGATCAAGTCTAAAATCATAAAAAGAGTCATAAAATTTTCTACTTTTTGACGCAAAATTAAAGTTTTTAGCGTGTTCGTTAAAAATATACAAAAAGTGAATAGTTATAATAACAGAATAATGTAATATCCACAAAATTTATAAAACAACTACGAAACTCACAAGATCGGCCATTAAATGGTGGATTAGATTTGTAGACAGTGATTGGAAGCCTCCAACCTGACACTTTTTTCCTTGGAATATTGCTCGGCCAATCAGAGTCCTTTCCATATGATTGTCCTTCGTCACGGATACAGAAGTACACTGGAAACCCAAAAAAGCCTTGATGATACAATTTATCTGAAAAAAAAAGTTTCTTTATAATCGTTAACCATCTTCTTTAGAGTAATATAGTCTGTTTTTTATATTAACAGCGGCCGTAGAACGACTTTCCTTATAAAAATATCTTTAAAATTAACCAAACGTTACCTCAACTAAAAGAAACTCAACATATATCCTATCAAAATGTCACTAAATCTTAGATAAAGCCATGAATCATTTTATATTGTTTTAATCAAAAAAAGCAACAGGACTTTTGTAAAACTTTAAGACCACTTACTTTTCAAGTACAGTTGTTTCCTAATAAAATTCTGCTTTTCAGGAGTCATGATTTCAAACGGCTCAACCTTTGGCACAAATGACAAAAACATTGGTGGTTCACTTAATCCCGGAATCATCCTTCCGTAATTCCCAAAATCAACTTCTTCCAGCTTGAATTCGAACGATTCCATAACACTCAACTTTTTGCACAAGTACTCATAAGCCGTGATGATAGACCTGGCTAAAAATAACAAATTTTTAACCAATTATTGTAAAAAAGCACACAAATCACCTAAATTAACTATTTTCCCTCATATTACCTACAACAACATACCTCCAAAGTTCCCGAATCCTCGTGGAATAGACAATTCAGACCTCATAGGGACTATCTCCAAAACAAACTTCTCCTCATTCAACGCCGTCAATTGACTCAACCTGGTGTAGAACTTTTTGTCATAGTCCTCCCCATAAACTGGGTACCTCAAGTTTTCCCGTGCGAAGTAGTGATCTCTCTTCCTGATTTCGAACCTCTTGTAAATGAAGCCTTTGAGAAGATCCTCGCAATCGAATGGATGATTCTCTTCCGTTGTCAACGGCTGGCGACATTTGAAACAAGGCTTTTGACATGTTTCGATGGTATGAGAGTTGTCGCTACAGTTTATACAACTTGCTTGTCTGTCTGGGGGCTAAAATATCTTTTTTAGTAAAAAGCAATAAAAATATTTATTTTTAAAGTTTTAAATAAAATTAACATTATATTATCATTCTTTTCCTTAAAACAGAAAGTTCTGATAATACAACATTAAATTCACCAATAACAACATAAAAATAGGATCAACTTTGTCTATAAGAACAATAATCGTCCAGAAATCCACCAAAAACCAGACGCTTTTTCCCAATCTCCCATTCTGAACATTGAAAACACGAAAATTAAATCAACTTACCTTTGGATAAACCAGGAACTCAATGTTTAATGTCAGTGTTGCACAAGAATCCTCGGAAACTGTGTAATTTGGTTCCGTTGGGTTAGTTACGTCTGACCATCGCGGTGATGTTAAGTTAGAATCAGGTGAAATTAAATTTAAATTGTCCAATAGGCGATCGTCTGTAGAAGAAGATGAACCTCCCAATGACATTATATGCCTCTTTACCATCGTCTTTGAAGCCCAGCTTGAAGCTAAAATAAGGTAAAATTAATTGAAATTCAAAACAAATTAAAAAATATTGTTTTAAAGTCAAATACAAAATTAAACACAGACAATATACATTTTCAATGTCTTAAAATAGTAGAAAAACTACATTAACGTTATAAAAATCAGTAAGCAAAGAACATTTTCTTCGTCTCGAAGGAAAAGAACAGCAATTACTTTGCAAAACTTTGCGCAAGAACGACGAAATTCCACAAAATCAATCATGATTCCATAAAATATGTCATTGTTAAAAAAATCCAAAAAATACGTTATCTTCGTAAAATATTCCAAAAAAGGGTCAGTTCTAGAAATACAAAACATCAGTGCAGCTTCCATAAAATATGTCATTGATGAATAAAATCCACAAATTAAATCAAACAAAACAACTAATATTTACAATTTGTGATCCTAAACCACAATTCAATCAGAAGTCTGAATGCCCCGTTCAAAGAGAGTATATTACAATATAACTTTGTAAAAACTGTTTTTTTTTGCAAACAGTTACACATCAGTTGAGCACAACAAACAACCAATATTGTCAAGGATTGGCTAATGCACTTGTCTTACTTTATTTTGTTCCAACTAGACAATATAAATGCTAAAGAGAATTTCATGACGAGATGACTTTCAACAGAATTTAAATATGTACTACGTATAATAAAAACCGCGTGTCCCAAAAATTCAATGAACAATCTAAACACCAAAATCTACAATTTTTACACAATTTTTTTTATTTTACAATTTTATCAGTTGCAACGGAATACAACTGCAGCTGCAGTTGTATTCCATCACGGATTGGGAGTTGTTTTGTAATGCTTTACAACAACGTCATATTTCCAGCGTCCTACTTCGTATATCAGTTTACAATTTAATTTTGATTTTGAGTTTTTTTTTCTATGATTTAAAATTTTCATAGTAAATAAAGCAAAAAGCTTAAGATTAAAGTGCCATGAAGAAGCGACATTTCGTTTCGTAATTGTGTTCGTTAAAAATGTGAGAAACCGGCGGCGTTTTCCGTAATTTTCACATAATATCTTGGTGCTTATGAGTATAATAACACCGTAGATCTTATGTTTATACGCATTTTAGTGAGATATCAAAGCTTTATCATACTTGTTACATTTACAATATTTTTTGTCAAATAAATGACGGTAATATACCTTCGTATAAAAAGTTTGCGCGGCCTGCATTCCATTTTATTTACTTTTCTTCTGCCCTGACGCAGTTCGCGCTTAAAAATAAATTTCTTTTGTTTGTTTTTTCGCGAAATTCCACTTTGTTCAAATTAACGGGGACGAAGGCGATAATAACTTTGTTTTTGACTTATTTTGGTCCGTAAATACTTGGAACGCAAATATTTCAATGCAGACTTGACAGGAAACGGCTAAAATGAATGTTATGCACTTGTTGAAGACATTGATTGCCTTTACGTTCGTCGCCAGCTTCATAATCGGTGCCATATTTATGATAAGATCAGCGGATGACGACGAAGTAAGGGTTTCTGCAGTTTTTGTTACGTTTTTAGGTGTTTTGGTATTTGAAATTTGACATTTTGTTGATGTATAGGTTAGTTAATTCAATTTGTATTAGACTACCTTAATAAGCAGTTATTTTTACAATATTTTTTGCAAAATGCTTGTTTAGTGAAACAATTTTTATGCATTATTTTAATGTTTTAGATAAGACAGAGATTAAAGAGTCAAATTTTGGAGAATCAAATAAAGAAACTGAAAGAAGAGAAGAAAGAAACAACAGAAGTTGAACAAGTACATGAACGTGGCAGTCTTCCAAAGCCAAATGAACGGTTATCGGATCCAGATGCTCCGATAAGTCACAAGCCTGAGGATGTGAACAGTTTACAAGAGGTAAAATACTCATTTTTTGACGCATACGTTTGATAAAAATGTTACAATACATTTGTTATAACCAAAATATTTAGTTTAGTACAAAATTATCTTTTTAAATATTGATGGAGTTGTGATATTTAATACTCAGTGTTCTTCGTTTGTTATTAACAAATTAATTGTACAAAGGATACTTTCAAATAACTAATTATATTATTACAGCCATCAAGACCACCATCTGTTCATATATTTTACTATCCGTGGTACGGTAATCCAGAGTTTGATCATGGAAAGTATTATCATTGGGATCATCCACTGCTGTTAAGGACAAAGCCAAAGAAGAGTTTCGAGCAAAGTAAGAATAACGCTATTAAAAATTTTGGTGTTATGATCAAGGTATTACTTAAAATGCTTGTGCTATAGCCTGAAAATTATAGCAATTTTTCAAAATTTTGTAGTTCAAACGTTTACTTTCAGCCCGTCATAAGCCTCCACCTGATGTAGCAAGTGTGTTTTATCCTCAACTAGCTGCCTATAGTAGTAGAGACTCTTCGGTGATTGACAGGCACTTTAAATGGATAAGCTCTGCTGGAATTGATGTTGTAGCGGTGTCGTGGTATCCAAAAGGCAAAGCTGATGATAATGGTATGTATTAATTGTAAATTGAAAATTTGTACTTCTAAAATGATTAATAATGGTTTTTATGTTTGAGCATATTTGGGCTTTTTTAAATAACGGTTTTGCTTGGGGTAACGAGTTTAATAAAAAATAAATATTTTGTCAGGTTATCCATGGGAAGACTTAATGCCTCAACTTCTCAACGTCAGTTCTCAATACAAACTGAAGCTAGCGTTTCATCTGGAACCTTATGACAAACGCACAGCATTATCAGTACGAGACGATATTGAGTATATTGTGAACACATACGGCAATCACAGTGCTTTTTACAAAACAAAACCCAAAAATGGAGACAAATTAACGCCCGTGGTTTATATCTATGATTCATATCGCGTACTGAATGATGACTGGGCAAAAATTGCATTACCAGGTGGAGAAAATACTATCAGAGGGACAAAGTTTGATACGCTGTTGATTGGTGAGTTGAAGATTTTATTGAAAAGTTGATAATGTAATGATGGAATAAATAGTATTAAAAATGCTTATAAAGTTTTTGTTTTTGTAAAAGTACCTTATGATTCATATTTCAGGCTTGGTCTTGAAGCTCTCAGACGTAAAAGGCGTGAAAGCAGCTGGCTTCGACGGCATCTACACGTACTTTGCGGCCGATGGCTTTACAGAAGCTGCTTCCATGACAAATTGGCAGAAACTGTCTCAGATTTGCACAGAAAACGACTTACTGTTTGTACCATCAATCGGACCAGGATACGACGATTCCAGAGTCAGACCATGGAATGGAGTGAATACGAGGACGAGAGACGGTGGAAAGTATTATGTTGAACATTTTGAAGCTGCGCATACGGCAAAGGTATGAGTTATAATGTAAATTTCAACGCAAGTTAAGGATGATTAAGGAGATTGAAATAGGTTTTGTGGGACTCTGGGTATCCTAACTTACATTATTTTTAGCCGGACATTGTGTCGATTACCTCGTTTAACGAATGGCATGAAGGAACCCAGATTGAGCCAGCTATTTCCTTTACGGACAAAACCAACAATTATACTTACCTAGAGTATGAAAAAGGATCGGAGATGTATCTACAACTAACAAATGAAATGATACGAAAGTACTTCGTGCCTCATCATCAAAATATTCCTATGGATATTGCGAAAATTGTCTAATTTTGCTGGAATTTTTGTCAAAGTTATGATATTTAACCATCTTTTTTTGTATAAAAAGTGTTTGGCATAAGGTTTTTTATTGTTAATGATCTGTTTGGCTGAATTTGTTGTCATATTGGTCAGGTTGTCTTAAAATTTGAAAATTGTGATTAAAAAGAGATTTTTTTCTATTACAGGTGCGTGAACGTGATGTTTTACTTGTCTATGAGCTGTGCTACATTGTATAATCTTTATTTTATTTCTAGTTTATTGTTTGACATTGTTTTTAAAGCTATTGCATAAAATTATTTTCTAGATTAACTTTGTTTTATGATATTTATTTTAGGTGTCTGTTCTTTTCTCTATTACTTCTCTACACACTTGGTGGTTTTTAAGACGTGCTACTTTGGAAAAACTTGTAAAAGTTGGCATTTTATGGTGCTTTTAGGGCATTTTTTTACTTAAAGATTTTTTTTTTCTAAGTCGGTTAATAATGCCATTTTTAACTTGATTCTTTTGTGATAGAGGAACTCTTAATCTACTTTACTATAAAAACGATTTTTTGTTAGTAAGGAAGAGAGATTATGTTTTATGGAAAAATAATAGATATCGTTTTAAAAAGGTGACATTATTAATTCGATTTGTTTTCTGTTGTAAAAATGTTGTTTGAAACGTGAAATTGATTATTTACGTGTATAATATTGAAGTAAATGTGTAAATATGGTCTTGTAGAACGTAATTATGATTTTTCCAAAGTTTTTAATGTTATCTTATATTTGTTTTCAATAAACTTAAAATTTAATGAAAAGGTTTATTTGATGTTTTTAAAAATACATATATTTTAGAATTGATTTTTCATTATAAGTGCCATATTTGTAACGCATAAAAAATAAGAAGTTCACGCGGCCTGCATCGTGCTGCATCCTCCTACTTTTACCCGGGCGCAGTTCGAGTTTGAAAATAAGGTTGTTGGTATTTTTCGAAATGTTATTTGTACAAATTAACAACAACAAAGACGGTAACATCTTTGTTTTTGATTTATTTTGGTCTATGAATACTCGATAATCAAAGATTTGGATGCAAGTTTTGACAGAAAAGCGGCCAAAATGAATGTTATGCACTTTTTGAAGACTATGATTATCTTTACATTCGCCGCCAGTATTATAATTAGTGTCGTATTTATGGTAAGGTCAGGAAATAACGATGAGGTAAGTGTTTTTTGCGATTTATTGCGTTATGGGTTGTTTTATATTTAATTTTTGGCAGTTTATTGAGGTTTAGTGTAGCTGGTGTTGATAGGTAAAGATTTGAAGGAAAGTAGACTTTAAAATTGAGCAGTCTTTGTTATTTATTATAAGCTTATACACAGAAAAAGGTTTTAAAATGGTTATTTGCTGTATACGTTTTTTTTGTTCTTGAGAGCAATTGATATTACACTACTTTCTTACCAGACTGGAATTTAAAAACATAATTTACCGGAAACATGTTCGAAAAATTGTTTAAAGTAATATTTTAGATGAAAGAACGGTCAAAAAGACAAGTTTTGGAAAATCAGCTGAAGAGATTGCAAGAAGAAGAGAAAGAAACATCACATGTTGAGCAATTACATGAACATGACAGTACTCCGAGGCCAACTGAAGAACCATTAATTCTTGATACTCCAATCGCGCATGAGGATGTGAAGTGCTCACAGAAGGTAAAATACGGGGCGTACATTTTTTTTATGTAATATTAAATATATATTGATATCAGAATACATTAATATAAGAATGTTTTTGTTGTCAAGTACTAGTTAGAATATTATAGTCATCAAAAGCACCACCAGTACACATATTTTACTATCCATGGTATGGAAATCCAAAGTTTAATAATGGACGGTATTATCATTGGGATCACTCTTTATTACTCCTTGAAAGGCCAAAGAAAGGTGAACAAAGTAAGCGTTTGGCATTTCAGTAACATAAGCATTTTCAGTTTAAAAAAAGTTGGTTACTTATAGCTCTCAAATAATATTTTTTTTTATTTTGTTTTTAGAACGTTACCAGCCTCCAGAGGATCTACCAAATGTGTTTTATCCTCAATTATCTGCATATAGTAGTAGAGATCCGTCACTGATTGATCAACACTTTAAGTGGATGAGATCTGCTGGTATTGATGTTGTTGTTGTATCGTGGTTTCGCGAAGACAAAGCTGATGCTGATGGTATGTTTTATGTTATTATAAAGTTATAGAATAATAAAAAAGATTTGTTAAGTTTTTAAGGTAAGTTAGCATACTTTCAGATTTAAACGTTTGTGTCAAAAACAGAAATTTCTCGAACATAAACATTACTACTGTTTCAGGTTACCTAATCCCCAAACTACTCGACGTTTGCGCTCAATATAAACTGAAGCTAGCTTTTCATCTGGAACCGTATGCTGGACGCACAGCTTTGTCTGTACGAGATGACATTGAAAAAATAGTTAAATTGTATGGGAATCACAGCGCTTTTTACAAAATGAAATCTAAATACGGGGATAAATTGTTGCCCGTGATGTATATTTATGATTCATATCAAGTATCTACCGATGAATGGGCTGAAATAGCATTGGTTGATGGAAAGAAGACTATTCGTGGAACTGAATTTGATGCACTGTTGATTGGTAAGTCCAAGTTTTGAAGAGTAATGAAGAAGGTAATGAAAATGTATGGTTAATATAGCCTAACATTTTCAATTGCCTTCCATTATATATCTTCAAACCGAGTTTTGTACGTAGTCTTTTTTTATGGTAAATTTATTTCAGGCCTCGTCCTAAGACTCTCAGACGTACAAGGTGTGAAATCAGGTGGGCTTGACGGTATCTACACTTATTTTGCTGCTGATGGCTTCACAGAAGCTTCTTCCATGCAAAATTGGCAACGATTGTCGAAAATCTGTAAAGAAAACCGATTACTGTTTGTACCATCAGTTGGACCAGGATACGACGATATCAGAGTCAGACCATGGAATGGAGTGAATACGAGGGCGAGAGATGGTGGAAAGTATTATGTTGAACATTTTGAAGCTGCGCATACGGCAAAGGTATGATTGATAGTATAAATTTGAATAGAAGTTGAGGATGATTAAGTAGACTTGAAGAAAATTGAGGTTTTGGGACTTTGAGTGTCTTAACTCACATTATTTGCAGCCGGACATTGTATCTATTACCTCGTTTAACGAGTGGCATGAAGGAACCCAAATCGAGCCAGCTATACCATTTACTGACAAAGGCAACGAATATACTTACCTACAATATGAAAAAGGACCGGAAATGTACCTACAACTAACCAATGAAATGATACGGAAGTATTGCGTACCTCATGATTAATATTGTTCAATGGATATCACGAAATTTGCTTCTTTTTTTTCTTGTAAAGTCTGCCAAAACATAAATTTTAAGTTTTTTAACAAAAAATTAATAACATTCTGGACTGGACTAGAATGTTTAACTGTTTATGGTTTCTTTGACTAAAAATTAACTAGGTTTGTTTGTCTGTTGTGAAGCTACGATTTAATGATGTCATATTGATGTATTACGTGTAAAATATTAGGATAAACGGGTAAATTTTTTATATTGCACATTTAGTTGTGCTTTCTTTGTATTTTCATGTTATAGTATGTTTTTTCTCCGTATAAGCTTGAAAACCGATGAATTTTCAAAATTTTGTTTATATTAATGGAAGGATTGAGGTTTTATTACTTTCCTTTCAAAACAAAATTTGGTTTGTAAACGTTTCAACAACCTTTATAATTAATCGTCTTTGTGACCCGCTTCAAAGATTTTTCTCAAAAAATCTAAAAGATCTTGGTATCGATAACACATTTCCTTATTATATCATATTCCTTGTAATAAAAGCCAACTTTTTTTAATAAACAGATTAATCATACTGATTACTGTACACGGACATTAAGAACCATCTGGCCAAGAAATAAACAGGGCGAACGAATTCAAATTTAACCACCTCCTTCTTCTTTACAAATACCAAAATATAAGAAGAAAGGGTGAGTGGGATCGATCACAAGTATTGGACGTCGCCGACCTTCGCATTTGCATACTATTTCTTCGTTGTTTACGGAACGGAGGTAGGCTTACTAATACGGTGATTTGTAATGAGAAAAAAGGGGGAGTTTGAATGAATTAGGGCCTTAGTTTTTAGAGAACAATTAGTTTGGCTGAAGAATTTTGCAATGGTACTTGCTTTTTAAAAGTAAAAGTATTTATAATAATAAAAACTATGCTCTATATTATTGTAATTTCAGAAAATTGATTTCCTTATACTTTAATCGAGTCTTTGTAAAAGTTCATCAATAACCGCTCTTGAATGTCATTTTGGCGCTAGGACAAATGCGGTTTTTGGACATTTGCGGATCTGCGGTTTTTAGACACTTGCGGATCTTCGGTTTTTGGACATTAGCGGATTTTTTAACGGGGTTTTTTTTATTTTTTATTTAATTTAGTTGTAGTATGGTAATAAATGGTACTAAAGTTTAAATTGGCACTGTCTTAGTATTTCTTAATGTTAAGTAGTACTAAATTTTTAATCGGTACTGTTTTTATATTTTTAGTACTAAATAGTACTAAAAGTCCAAAAAGGTACTGTTATGTTAAAACCGTACCAATTCAAACTTTAGTACGATTTAGTACCATAATACAACTAAATTAACTAAAAAATAAAAAAAAACCTTTAAAAAATCCGCAAATGTCCAAAATCCGCAAGTGTCCAAAAACCAAAGATCCGCAAATGTCCAACAACCGCATTTGTCCTAGCGCCGTCACTTTTCTAGACAGAATCATTACAATCAATTTTGTATAGTTTTGCGTAATAATGTTTTACTTTTTACTGTTTAGACCTTTTAAAAATTATTTATCTTTTCCAACCTAACAAAATGTTTATTTATAATTTATAACTAATTTTATAATAGTTTAAAAACCATATTATCATGATAGAACAACATACAAACCAAACTATCATTTGGTTTCGTTGTTCTTGCCACGTTTTTAAAAAGTGCACAATGCAAAGTCATATTTTAATCGATTGCACGGTGCAAACCTTATTTTAAACCCATTTTGCAACCCAAACTGATTAATATACAAAAATTGTGTTTAAAACTTTTGCACCGTAAAAAATCCTTTTTTTACCGTGCAACGTCTATTTTTGACCGATTTTACGGTGCACCCCAATATTTAACCAACTGCACCGTGCAACCCATATTTTTAACCGATTGCACTGTGCAAAACCAAATCTTGAAATCTTTCCCACCAAAACCTGCGTGCGCAGTGCAATTCAAGCTCGAACGAATCGCACTGTGCAAACGCATTTCTTTTGATCTATGCCGCTTATCCGACTGCACCGTGCGAAACCCCGATTTATCAGTCTGTCCGGAAAAGAATGTTAGGAGTGCACTGTGCAATCCCTGAGAAAATCGCAGCCCCATTGCACCGTGCAGCTTCCCCCGCGACCTCTTTCGACCCCAAACGATCATGGAAAGACTGCACAGTGCAGGCCCCCAATTGTCGCACCGGTCGGTTGTCGCGACAGTCAGGGGACTTGCGACAGTCAAAAGAAAGTTGTCGCAAGCCTTCCACGGAACACAGTGGTGGCTTGTGCGTTGCGAAAACCGCGACACGCTGTCGCATCGCCTTTCAAATCGCGACGCGACAGTTTGTCGCAAAGCTTGCACCCTGCGACATTGCGATTCCCATTGGAATGTCGCAAGGTGCAAGCGACTGTCGCAAGCCTTGTCGCTTGTCGCCCAATTCTCGGCGCGACAGCGATTCCTTCAAATTGGGTTTTGCGAGTTTATCCCATTCTTTTCCGGAAAGACTGATAACATCGCTGCCTGTATCGGGTAATCGCGCAGGAAATCTGCACTGTGCAGCGGAATAAAAAGGGCGCGATTTTCCCAGGGACTGCACCGTGCAGCTGTAACATTCTTTAGTGGAAAGACTGATAGCTGACTGCACCGTGCAACCTAAATTGAAATCGCAAAGGTATGGAATTTTGTTAGGACTCGTCGAACATTCTAGAATCCAGTACATGGGTTCCCCGGTCTTCTCGGTCTGGACACCCCGAATTCACGCAATCTTTTTTTGTTGTTCAAATCCCTTGAATTTCATTTGTTGCCCAAATTCTCATGGTTTCTTTGCTTCTTTAGTCATCTCAAATTTTCGGGTAATTCTCTTCAGTAAACGCAATTGCACCGTGCATAACTAATCCTTTTGAAGTTTTCCGGCAAAAGCGCCACTGCACCGTGCAAGCCTTGATTAAACGGACTGCACTGTGCAAACCATTCAGCGACATTTGAACTTCTTTTGATCTTGTCCGCCAAAAATGGACTGCACCGTGCAAAAAATGAAAGACCGGAACGTCGCCCAGATTTTGCTTCATTTTTTCTTGCTGAATTTCGCCGAATCGAGAGAGCTGTTTTGCGACAATAATTCGCACAGTGCAATCGAATTGTTGCCGAGAAGGGGGAAGAGAGAGCGCACGAATTGAGAGAGCGACGAGTTAAATAAAGAAAGTGAAAGGGAGCGCGCGAAAAAGGTTTGCGACAAAGAGTAAATGCGATTAAAAAAGATTGCGCAATTGAGGACGCAACAGGGAAAGCAAAGAAAGGGGCCGATTTACTGGTCTTTGAAATTTGGCTCGAGCCATCGCCCATGGCCTTTTGGGTTTTCTGAAAAATGTGTGGTCCTCGATCGAGACCTCGAAAAAGGATTTTTGACGACCAAAACTTGGCTTGCACAGTGCAGTGGTGCAAACCGTAAAAAATAGTTGCACGGTGCAGTTATCAAAACAATTATTTGCACCGTGCAAAGTGTGTTTTGGACAGGAAATTTGAAATTTTGAGATATCAAAATACACTTTTGGTTTATTTATTTCGCTTGATCATCGCTTACCCCGATGAATTACAAGTTAAATTTTTACTATTTAATATTTTTACTTAATATTTTTAAGTAAAAAATATAATTTTTACTTTTTTTGCTTGTATAGGGTCAGAAAGCTATAGTTGCCCAAAAAAATTTTTAAACTAAAAAGCTATAAACATTTATTAGATCTAGGTTTGGCTAATAAAGATGTTTTGATGATAAGATTTTTTCGTTTAGCAAAGCGTGTGTGGTTTGTTGATAGCATTTATAACGTGTTGATAGCATTTATGTCACTCCAAACCTTCAGTTTAATAGTTTTTCCTTGGATAAATGTTTGCTTTATATATTGTGAAGATTGCCTTTTTATTAATTTTCTTATTAAAGTTATATTGGTTTACTTGCTGTCTTATCATTTAGACCAAAGACTTGCTTACTTTCCCAGAACTTTGGTTCTGTTTTCTTTTCTTAAAACAAATATAGAAAAATATATTATACAATTATGATTTTACTGGTGTGTGAAGTTACCTGTCCTCTCTTTTCTATCAACTTATCGTTGTGATATTAGTAATTTTTTAGTATTATTGATAAAAATTCAAGTAAGTAAAAAATTACCAATGAGGACCAAGTTTTTTTACGATTTATCTTTCAATTTACAAAAATGGTCTTAAGAAGTTACAGGCTTAGAAGTACGAGTTTTGGACTCAATATGTTATAATGTTACAGCGTTTGTCTGTTGGGCCACTCTTTGTGCTCTCAAAACAGGCGGTCATTTATGATTGTTTTATTCAGCCTCTTCCCAAAGTAATCGTGCGAATAGTTTTGATCAGCTGGGGTCTTTATTTTCATTAAAAGTGTATTTACATTGGAAATGATACTTGCCCTAACTAGTAACAAATATGATAACTTTTTCCGAACGAATAAGCTTTAATTTTAAGTTGTCATTATACATGAATTTTGATTAAAATCTAATACGTAAAATAAAAGGTATCTCTCCTCTAGGTTTGTCGCTTCTATATTGCTTCTCCTTCTGTAAAGAGAATCTTTTTTTCAATGCGTTAATTCTTTTTAAAAATATGATTCTCTCAAAATATTGCAAGGCTAGGTTGACTTCTGCTTTTTTCGTTTTATTTTACCGCAGTTTAAAATGTACTTTTTTTAAAATAATGGTCTTTTAAAAGCTTCTTATTGTTATGTTTCATACATGAATCTAGTTCTACTCAATTTTGGATCAAATAAAGCTAATTTCTCAAACCGCAGTCTGCATAATTGCGGGCGCAGTCATTCAGGAGGAGCCATAAATTTTTTGGCCTTTGACTTGGGGCTTGGGACTTTTATTCTCGCGCGAATTATATTTTGCTGGTTTTTTATTCGAATATGGCCTCATCCTTTCTTTGTTGATTTATTACTTAAGCTTTTTAAAGGAAAAGCTTGTTTAAAAAGCCCAAAAATTAGTTAAATTATCTTTTTTTTACTGTCAGGCTAAAATTTTAAGTTGATAGCAAAACACACAACTGTTGATTAACCTTGTTTAGTTCTTTGTATTGTTAACGTTTTTCAGGTTTTTTCATGAGGAAAAGTGATTAATTATAAGGTCTTCTTTTACTTTTTTTTCTTCTTAAAAACGGAGATATTATAGTAAGATAAGAAAGTTTCAGCTATCGTTGCACTATTTTTCACGATAAAAATATCTTTTTTATGAATAGGTTGTTGTCATTTAAACTCTATTGTGCTAAGTTATATTATTTTGTGCTTACTTTTGGTTTTTCTATATTGTTTTAGGTATTCAGGCGAAAAATCTTTTTAAATTTTTTGAATTTAAAACTGAACCTTTTTTTAATGTTTTAGATAATACATTATCGCTGTATTTGTGTACTATTTGAGGGTTTATTACTCACTTTAATTTAATTTCTTTTCAGATGGTATTCTCCCATCCGTACCAGCGACGAGATGGACGAAGATCATTGCCCAATCAAAACCAAGGAAGTCAACTTCACCATTCACAGCAGCGACGAATTTTAAAGCCTAGAAGCAGGATCGTTCGGCCAAATTCACATGCCTTCCCTGCGCCTTTATATTCCTTCTCTAATTTGCCTTCGGGAAATGGTTTGAATATTGACCGGGGTGATAGATTCGGAGGAACATGGGGCTCATTTGACGACATAATGACCGGACAGTTTTCAACCCGCCAAGATCATTCTTATGGACAATATGATGGCCGATTCAAAAGACCTATGCTTCCGTTGAAAAGCCACAGCTTTTCTCATCGAAACCAATCAGAAGACTCAACGAACGGTTTGTTGAAGAAGATCAACTCGGCCACACGCGTACCATTGACTGTGTATTCAGGTGGTTCTTCTTTCACAAACGAATTCAATGGTTTACGAATGCCATTTGACAGCTACGACACGGAAACCTCCGCTTTCGATACATCATACGATCGTGCACATGGAAGTGGAGATCTGTCGGATGGTCACTTCAAATCACCGTCACTTTATGGCTCATCCACTAATGTCAGTCCATTGGCTTTTCCAAACAGCCAAAGAGGCGGTCGACAAGGTAATGTGTTTACCAAACCTCAATGTAGTGCTCTTACTCGACGTCAAGGTGAACCATTACCAATGGAACTCGACTCATCGCCAGAAAATCGAACTCCGCCTAATCTGAATACTTGGAAGCCTAAGATTTCATGGATAGATGGCAAGGATTCAGGAGAGATTCTGCAAGTCAACAGCCTGCGCTTTGCTGACACTGGCTTTGAAACAACTCGGCCACGAGACCACTTCGACATGTACTCATCAGCAAGCAGACGTCGTTCTGCAAGTCATGTTGGAGTCTCCAAAAATGGGGTGATTCTAAGCTCTAAAGGCATGCCCAATCGCTCAAAATGGTCTTCTGAGAGCTCTTTTGATCCGAATCCTCTTGCTGATTACGTTGAAGACGAACCACCGCGAATTTGTGCAGGACAAAACAGAAGTTCAAGGTACAGCCCAATCAGAATCAAGCCAAGTCGCACCAGCTCGGTGGATTACAGGGCTCGTGGAGCTAGATCCCTCAACAACAATTCTACCAGAGCTCCCAACTTTAATGTGGAGCAGAAGCCACGAAGACAAGCTACATCAGATCGAAGATCCAATAGGCCGAGTTTGCCTGAAGATAGACGGCTATCATGGGATTACAATCGTAACAGATCTAAAGATTTTGGTGTTAAATCTGAAGGCCCAAAAACGCCGGTTAACAAACCCGTGCCCGACGACCGGCCATCGAGGTCAACCAGGCCAAGAATTACTTTCAATTCGGATAATAAAAGAGCGTCATACCCGTCGGGTACTACAAGGTCTGAAAGGCCGAGGATTACCTTTAGCAACAATTGTGTTGTCCCGCCTGACGACAAGTCCACTCTGCACAAGAAACGTACCAGGTCCGCAGGAAACAGAAGATCCACGATTGACAAGGCTAATACAAGTTCCAACGATATTAAAGAAGAAGGTGTAGATTCAAAAGTAAGTCTCATTTTTACCAGTTTTGTTATTGTATGTATGAAAAGTTGGAAGATAAAAGTGGAACTGTTATACTGGAAAAGACCAAGATGCCAGCCGGCAATGAATGAAGCTATCAAGCTAATACAACTATCGTTGTCTATCATGAAGGTCATGAGTTTCTTGTTGTTAGTCATGAAGGTCCTACACCTTTCGTTGTTCATAAAAAACGGCATACAGCCTATGTTGTTTGAAGAAAACCTAGTACAAGGTATAAAGAGTTAATAGCTTACATTTGCTAACGTGAGCTACGTAAGTAAGATCAAATGTCGGATGCAAAATTTATGAGATTAACAAGATTACGTTAATATGAAAAAAATAAGGTTCTTATTCAGAGATGAAAACACTGTTTTTATTTTATATGACACAGAACGAAGCACGTTTGTGCGTAAAATATAAGAACTTTGCGCGATTTCTGAAGACGTGAAACCTGCAACAAAATTTTTTGTTAAAAAGATTGTGAGACAACATAGCTTGTCACGAAACACACGACAAAAGATCTTATCTAAATATAGAACGACAATTCCTTGTTAATTCACGAAATGACCACAAAATCACCGGCCATGTTAAAGACCATATGTTTTCTAGATACGAGCGTATCACGAAGCATTATGTAAACAGTGGAAGACCATAGACTTCAAAAAGCTTCATAATCATTAAATAATGTCGAAAAAACACAAAAACGACGAAACATTTTTTATTTTCAACGTTTTTAAGCAAAATTTTACATTATTTAGCGTTTACACCTCTACTGTCTCAATTGTGGAAACGAACATGAAGTTGCCGAGTGCCCATACGACTGCTTCAGGTGTCGATGCTCGTTCAAGAACTTTGAGGAACACAAACTTGAATGTCAGGAAGCGATGAGAGGTTTTATGAACAAAGACTTTGAACGTCGCAAAGTCATCTTCTACAAGCAACGACATCACGACACGTACCCAAAGTACAGCGAGAAGTTCAAGCGTGAATACTACAAAAAGTTGGCCACTTTGAATCCAAAACATGTGGATGATATTGTACTGAGTGGATCCTACAAAGACACCATGATCAAACGACCACAATCCTTTGGCAATTTCAGTGGCAGAGCAATGATTCAGGCTTATGAGTATTTGTGGAAGTACGAGAACATTCTGGAGAGTTTTGAGTTGCCATTGTTCAACGTGAAGGTTGTGAAGATCAATTTGACGTCGAATGGAAAGTCTAGACCAGTGTCTAAGTTGACATTCACTATGCCGACTGTTCATCACGGGGTTGATGATGGTCTGAGGAAGTACTTTAAAGGTAAGGCTTTGGAAAAAGTAGATTTTATCATCTTACGGTATTTAAAAAGTCTTGTAGCTTTTTAACTTGATAAACATTTCGAGCTTGTGACAAGACTTGTTTACTTCAAAAAACGTTGTTACCATTAAATATTCAAGTAGAAAATATGGAATTTAAAAATATTTTTAAAAGTTGTTAAACTATAAATTTTAGAAAAATTGCTACACCTTGGACGTGCTGGCTTTCAAATCCTGCTTGGTAAGCGAGAGGACGCCGATTCATTGACTGAGAACAGAAACGACGGAGAATGGCCGAAAGATTTGGTACGCCCTCTTGTATCCAAGTTCAGAGAAGATGTTAATGTGTACTGGTGCAATGGCGACGTGTCTGAGGATGAGTGGAGTACGTTTTCTATATTGTATTAGATGTTGAAGGGGAAGGCAAGATAATTTTGACATTTTTAAAACAAATTCTTGCCATTTTACGTTTGGTAAAGAAAGTTTGTTGCTATTTGTCACTTCTATAACAATATAAATTTATTCAAATATATTTTATTTTTTAGCATTTTACACTGAAGAACTAGTGAACATTATCAAAAATCCTGGTCCAATCCAAGATGGCTCTATGTACATTGCCTTTAGTCACCAATGCGAACCGATCAAAAAACAGTTAGAAAACGTGAAAAAGTTCATGGAGGAGCAGAAGTCATACCTCTTCCCACGTTACGCCGCCAGTATGACTACAAACTTTTACAAGCCTTTGATTACCGACCATTCGACCGATGTGGTTTTGTTCAAGGAAGACCTGGAGAAGTTCAACCAGCTTATGCCAGTTCCTTATTGTTTGACTGATACTCAGATGGAGTTTGCGAAACAGTGCTACACAAAGGACATTCATGCTGTTTTGGTAAGGTTTTCTTCGTTTTTTGTTGCTTTATGGGTTGTAAAGAAAGTTATTGCTATTTTTTAGCCTGTAAAGAAAATTATTGTTATTTTTAATTTTTATAACAAATTCTTGCCACTATACGTTTTGTAAAAGGAGTTATAGCCATATTTTGTTGTGTGAACAAAGTTATTGTTGTTTTAAATTTTGTAAAGAAAGTTCTTGCTAGTTCAAGTTTATACAAAAATAAAAAGACCCGTATTTTTAGGGCCCTTCTGGCAGTGGAAAGACCACAATCGTTTGTTTCTTGGCTGCTTACAACTGGTTCCACCTTCGTCGTCGTACTTTAATCGCCACAGCACGGCCGGATGCAGCAGCTGAAATCACGGAACGTCTTCTGAAGATTGCCGATCATTTGAAGACGGAACATTATCCACATCTAATCAAATATCATGTAATGTACAAGATCAGTCCAACCGATTTGATGAACGAACGTTCAAAAGTCGTCGATGATGTTACGTTTTACAAGGATGATGCGGCCGAAAACGCTGGAATTGTCGTCATGCAGGTCAGGTTCTTGATGCCGGAACTTTTGAAGACATTCCCAGCTCAACATGTATTGATTGATGAGGCTTCATCAATGCGTACGGTCGATTATTACAGCTTTTTGGTCGATCTAAACAAACAAGCTCGGCCACTGCTGCAATACATGACATTGTTCGGTAAGCGTTTTAGTTGGAAGAAAAAACTTTTTAAATGAACATGGTTATTTCAAATTTTGTAAGGAAAGTTTTTGCCATTTGAAATCTTATAAGAAAGTTTTTTTTGTATTTTAATTTATTTAAAAAACGTTCTTAACGATGTTTTCAAAAATTATAAACTTTTGATTTTTCAGGAGATCAATGGCAACTGAATCCCCGTTTCTGTCGTGAAAGATTCATGGACGATGAAGCTGAAAGGAAATCCGGATTTGACGAATCTGCTTTGACACAACTTTTGAAATGTAAAATTTCATTTTCACAAATGACTCAAGTTGTCCGGACTTCGATCAGTTTGTCAAAACTGATCCAGTTTTACTATCTGTAAGTTTATTCTCTTGAATTGTCAACAAATGTTCATTGATATTGATTCTCATCCTCCAAGGATTTATAAAAAATTTTACTATTGTTGTCGTCAAAGATTTATAAAAATGTTATAGTAGCTTATTCTAACCGTACCTTTTCAGTGATCTCAACTTTGATCTCAGTAACTGTCCCGAAGAAAGACCAATGACGATTGATGTTAGTCATATCAAAAACGTCCCACCAGAATTGAAATCTTTGAATACACAACCCTTCACTTCCATTTTTGTCAATCTTCCCGCCACAGATTCAACCGGTCGATACTACTGCCGTGCCGACAACATGGATGAGGAATCAGCCAAAACAAGCAGAAAGATTCAGTATGTCAACAAAAGAAACATAAACTATGCCAGGATGCTGATAGATGCTGTTATGAAGACGAACGAGCTGAAGAAGAGCGATTGCGTGTACCTGACTCCTTATAGAAGTAGGTTTTTTTGACATTATTTTTATTTTTCTTGGGTTTTATGAAGATCAAAATAGTAAATAATTTGTTTTTGGTAAAGAACTTTGCGTTATCTTTTTGATTTTTAAATTTTTATATCGATATATCCATTATAAATCTTGCTTTTCAATTCAATTTGCAATCTTAACCTTCCCTTTTCAGTCCAAGAAACCTATTTCGACAGAAACCCAGTAAAAGGCCAAACAATTGATCGTGCCATCTCCACTGAAGCCGACTTTTGTCTAGTCGATTTAGTCAAAACCAAGCCAGGCGGCTTCATGAACGGCGAAAAACAAGAATGGCCATGCTACGCGACGGCCAAACGTCTTTTGGTCGCTCTGAGCCGAGCCAAACGTGCCCAAATCGTTATTGGATCAGTGGACGCTTCAAAATTCAACGCTCCAACTACCACCATCGAACAATTGGCACAAATTCATCGTCAAAGCGAGGACCCACTCGTCCGCTTCTACGATTTCAATTGTGTAAAGATGGAAATTGAGGAGTCTGAGCCTTCAGTTTAAAAATCTCATGGATATACGGTATTTATTATTATTATTATTGTTGTTTTAGTTGATATTTTATTGTAAGATTTGTGAAAAGATCTAATAATCGCGCTAAACTCGCAAAACAAACATTGTTATGGAGGAAAAGGGTTAAATTTTATGCATTTACGTATCGCATTACGTTATGGAGAAAAAACGTTAAAATTTATGCATTTATGTTTTTTGTAAAACATTGTTTTTGCCGGCTTTTCAGGTGTTTTTTATAGATTTTTTTGATTGTTTTTAGATAGCCTAGCTACTTTTATTTTCCAAAGAAAGATATTAGTGTTAGTTACCTCACTTGAAAGTTTAAAATTAATTAATAAATTGGTGCTAAAGTTTTCATTTGTTGTTGATGTTTATGAAATGGATAAGTTTGCAACGTATATTTTGTTTTTAAATTGGAGATGTAAATATACTTTTGCATTAAATGTTACTTAGGGTTTAGTGGGTGAAGAGTTAACGTTTGTATAGCTTTGTTTCTCTGCCTTGAGCACGTCCCATGTGGTCTAGTGGTTAGGATTCGTGGCTTTCACCCACGCGGCCCGGGTTCGATTCCCGGCATGGGAAGGAAACTTTTTGGGGATTTTAAAGGAATTTGTTATAGAGAAATATAAGGTGACTAATTTTTTGATATTTTTATATTAATTATAGATATTTTTTATTTTTATATACAGGGAAACCTCTGTATAACGAATCACAAGGGGATTTAAAATTTGTTCCTTATGAGGAGGTTTTGTTATACAGAGGTTTTCAATAATCTGTTTACTGTTTGCCGGGGGTTCAAAGGTTTTTTGTTATACGGGGGTTTTGTTATATAAGAGTTTCTTATACGGAGGTTCTATTGTATTGTTTTATGTTATACGCAACAAGAAGTAGTAGTCAACCTCATTATAATTTATATTATTATAATAACTTTATAATAAAACAAGGTATATCAATCAGAATAATGTCATAAAAACTATTTCCTGTGGAAAAACCGGCTCCTGTTAATAAAAAGTTTTCGGTCATGTAGCCATTGAGGCTTCTGTCATAAAAGAACGGAGACAAAAAAGTTGGAGAGCATGTGAGAGAATGAGGAGGGGCTGTCCCTGTTTGGACAGACGGGAGAAAAGAGTCTCTTCAAAAAATTTTGTTTTTTTCTCGCTTTTTCTCAATCCTCTCTTTTGCTCTTGTACGAGGCTGTTTTATAAAGTTTTTTGTTACTTTTATTGATTGACCCTTCCTTTTTCCTATTTTTCGATGCAATTCCTGCTTCTAATTTTATGAAATTAAGCCGGTTTTTGGTCAAAAATTGATTTATAGGTCAAATATTGGGGGTTTTAATATGAATAGAAGCTGGAGATTGAAATTGGTTTAGTTTGGGATGAACTTTTGGGCAAAAATTAGTTTTGAAAACGTTCTATGGAGTCTTTTGAGAACACTAAACTTTAGTAATGGTCAATATTGTCATAGAGAACACGTTTATAAGAAAGCTACTGTTCTAATCAGTCGTCTAATCGTAGTAAGAATATTTTTTTAAAAAACGATTGATATAGGAAATTTGGTTAGTAAAGAATGTTATTTTATCTTGGTATTGATTATAACAGACATATAATTTATTTTTAACAATTTTCAAAATTTAAAATTTTTAAATGATATTATGGTTAAAAAACAAGTTTTTGGCCGACTGAAAGTACTAAATGCACGTGGAAACGTTTTCTAAAGTTTTTTTTGTAAAATTGAATTTTAATTTTTGTGGAGATAATCTGTCACATGAGTATTCAAATACCGCTTTTGAAATAACATAATCTTGACTTAGTTTTGTAGTTGTTCTAAACTGTACAAAGTTTTTATTTTTAGGGTTTTACGATTAGTTTTAAATTGTTTTAAGAGGGGGATTACGTTGCTGTAAAGTGATATTACGTTTAAAGTCTATTTTAATTTTAAAATATTGTATTTTAAGGCTTGAAATTTTGGTACAATCAAGATTATCTTTATGTTTTATTTTTAATAATACGAACTGGTTTTATAGCGTCATATGTACAATATATTCTCAAGATAAACAGTTACTCTGTCAATTTGTGAAGGAAAGCTTAATTTTCTTAATTTAAAATTCAGTTTGCTATGCAATGTTATCAACGGGTATTTTTATTTTAAAAACTTGAGCTTTTTCTCTTTATTGGCCGTTTCTTTTAAAAAATTTAAAATGAAAAGTAACCTGTCAAGTCAAAATAACCAGTTTGCTTCGCATTGTATATTATACATGGGAAGTTGACGGTTTTTTATCCCGCGAGCGACAAAGACGAAGTGTTCCAATCAGCTGACTCACTTTTCCTTCGATTTTCACTTTTTCCGAAGGCCGACCGAATCATGGGGCTGTTTATCATATTTTGCGCTAATAGGGCATTGACGTATTTCGTGTTTGTTTAGGCCGAAATTGATTAAAATTTTGTGTGATAGTGAGCTGATTGATCGTGAATGGACTGTTTTTCAATTCGAATCGTAGATATTGGTTTTTCATTGGCTTTTGACAAAATTTTAGGTTTTGAAAGGCTTAAAATACGCTTTTGATTGGTTTTTCAAGCTTAAAGTCGTTCCTTGTTTTCTTTTTTAAGTTCTTCGAAATTGAGACAAGTCTGTTTGTGTTGAATTAGTTTGAGTTTTTTTTGCACTTTGTTCAGACAAAATGTCATAAAAATCATTTTTTTTGTATTTGAACGTTGATTTTTGAGGCTTATAGTTCAGGTTATTAGCGAAAATGGACATCATAATGCACTCTTATGTTATGATGATGGACTAGCTGCATAGATTTTTTTTGCTTTGTAAGTAAGGCTAATAAGTCTAGTTTTATTTTACATATTTTAGACTAATAGCTAATTTTGACTTACATAAGTTTCATTTTTTATATAAAATTAAGAAATTATAAAATTGTTCTTGTTGTAGGGTTCAAATTATTTTCTTCATTTTAAAAATGCATTTTACTTTGGATCTCATTTTTTTTGCATTTGAAAAAAATGATTGTTTATTTAATTTTTCCGGAACGGATTATAATATTTATTGTTTTTAATAAATCAGAAAAAACTTTTTTTTAAAGTTACGCTGAAATTTGTAGATTGACGTTGACATTTCTTTGTTTCGTTCCAATTGAACTCTTGGTAGGTTGTTAATGCGATGTTTTGACAAAGGAAACGAAAAATTTTCATTATAATAGAAGGGAAAGTTTAGATTTGATGTTTTGAGGGAATGGAGGCTGCTGCTTTGTTCTGGCTGTTGCTTAGTATAACAAAGATCGTCATTTATTTAAATTTCAAAGATCTTTTGAACTTTTTTAGAAGTTTTTAGTTAAAAAACGATTTTCTTCTAGTATTAGGTATTTAAATATTCAAAAACAAAACTCTTCTTTAGTATACTATTTAAGAATGTGCATTTTACTCAAACCGCAAAAATTTGCATGCGCCTGACGGGAATCGAACCCGTGTCGGTCGCTTGGGAAGCGACCATGCTAACCATTACACCACAGGCGCGCATACACATGCTCGCTTCGTTCGGGCCTTCATACCCAAAAAGCGAGGAGAGCGAGGGAGAAGCCGGCGGGCCAAGACCTTGAGGCAAAGACGCGTCATTCGGCGAGCCGTTTCGCTTAAAAATTGTAGCCGGGCTTTTAGTGCTCGTGAAGAGCGTTCAGCAAATCTTAATGCGGTCTTGGTTTGTTGGACTGAGTTACTAGTATATGGAGTGGGGGGGGATGGGGGGGGAGGAAGAAGAGCGTTGTAAAGTAATAAAAGTAACATTTTCGGAACAATTAGTGAAAGGTGTGGAAAATATTAAGGGGTTTTGTAGAGGAAGGAGGGTTACGCTTTGTAGTGGTAGAAAGTAGGGATACTGAGAACTGGGTGTTTGTTAACTTTTGTATGTATCATAACAACTTGTATTCACCATGATGTTATCACAATACCTTTTTTTTGTTTTTGGTTACGATTTGAATAGGTTTTACCGTAGGCTCTTTCTATAAGCAACAATAGAGAATTGGGGTTTTGAGTTGACTAATGGACACATCGCTTCTCTTGACCGTTTTCCACTGGAAAATAAGCCTTCTAGATCGTCAGTATCACAAAGGGTATTTTATTTACAAAATCAATTACAAAAATGTTATATTGCTTATCATTTACCAATTGTCAACAATTTACAATTTTACTTTAAAATAGTTTTTGAATCCGTGGACAAAAACTTAAAAACTTCTTTTAAGACCTCATAGTACAAAGCCTTGAAATAACTTTTTGCATTGTTGTTCTGGCTTATGTTCTTAACGCGCTTGCGGTGTGAAATCCGCGGTTTTTGTTGGGTTTTGGAATTCGAAAAAAACAAAAATCTTTGACCTTGACTACTACTTAAAAGCCCCGAAGAGAAAAGAGAGAAACAAAACAAAAAAGTGACATTTTCACTTTCTAACAGCCTTTATCACACTTCACTACGTGAGGTTTAATAAGGCTTTGAAGTGTTGTTGGGTTTCACGCAGTAATGGAGGAGGTGTAAAAGTGGGCAACTGTCCGCGGAATCAAGAGGTTACTGTGTAAGGTTTAATATTTATTGCTCAAAAGGTAATAAGGATGAGTCTGTTTTATCGAAAAGTAGGTAGAAGATAGGGATTTTTAATTTTGATCAAGAAGTTCAGAGAAAACCAAATTATTTCTTTGTGGTCAAAAAGTCAACAGAGAATCAACTTATTTCTTCTGAGGTCAAAAAGTCCCCAGACTTTTTAATTATATAACTTTTAATTAGTTTATGACATTACTAATCAAGTTTCAATCAAACAATGAGTTCGAATGACATCTTCCATAACCTAACTTGTCTTTTCCAGTTGTTGTAACTAGTTTGGCGGTAACGTTCGTTTGCATTATAACAACGAAGAAGCGTTACAATAGTCTCCAGCCGTGTTTAGAAACCCGTTGGTTGTTTGCTCTCATATATAGTCGGACTAAGATTGCAACAGATCTCACTTTTATCGGTGTCTTCTTCGAAGCTAATTTTTTATGGTAGCAGTTTTAGTTTTTAATTTTAGATTGGTATTTAATTCAGTATTATATAAGGAAATTTGAAAAGGTCAACATGTTTGTTGACTAGTAGGGTTAATGACTATAACGATTGGTCTTTTTATCGGCCGTTTTTAGGGCAGGCACGTATCGTACCGCATGTCTACTTATAATAAACAAAATACATAGGGCTATTTTTAGTGTTTCTTATAACAAGAGCTGGTTTATATAAAAAATTATTTGTTGTGCTGAAGTTAAGTAGAATGATAGTCTATTGTGCTAATAGGCTGGCATGCTGATTTGGGCCCAAAACCTCTATCTGAACTTAAAATGAGAGAACCGTCTGTTACCTTCAACAAAGATGATATCTTTTTGAGCTCTTACTATGCCTATTTTCTATATTTTCGTACAATGAACTCCTGTATAACGAATCGTTCCAGGATTTTCAATTTATTTGTTATAAAAAATTTTGGGTACACATAAGTTTTAAATGCACTGTGTAGTGTTAACCTGGGATTTAAATGTTTTCCGTTATACAGGATTTTTGTTATAGACGAGTTTGTTATACAGAAGTTCCACAGCATTTTCAGTTATGCCTTATGCCATTCTTTTGAATATTAAAAACTTTATACTTTATGCCGTTTTGTTGCATATTGAAACATTTTCATACTAACTCCTAAAACACCTACTTGAATATTCAGGTCACTCGCTTTACCTATGTGTTTGCTTAATATTCAACTCGGATTAAACCCGCGCTCTAGGAAAACTGGTCTCTTTTTTCAGTCACAGCTCTTAACTACCTTTTTTCCCTACAAAAACAAAAGGTAGTGGAGGAGGCTTTTCATGTCAAAAGTTTAATCACTTCCAACGTAAATTCACTTTTTAACGAACCGATTAGCTTCACGGGACTTGTAGGTTTGTTTTTTGTGATGTACATGGAATGGGGAAGTGGACCGACCCTAGGCAGGGTTTGTTTGTATTTGTAGTTGTGTTCTGCAAAAGGTTCACGGAGTTTTGAGTTACGGATGTGTACTTTGGGGATACGTATAGGGTTTGTACTGGAAACGGGGGATTTTGAGTTGATGATGCTTACTCTATGTGCCGTAATTATATTGTTTTAGTTCGGCAAAAGTAATGTTTAGTTTTAAGTCGTTAATGTTACAATAACTTTTAAGCTCGGCGCCGATTTGGCATTGTGTTTACCTTGAAATAATTTTTTTTTAATTTTGTAGCTTTTGCACAGTGCAAAATATTTTAAAAATTCAAAAAATTAAACATTGTTGGCTATAACGTTACCGTCTGTGCCATTTACGAAGCAAAATACTATTATACTTGTACATGATGAACAAAACGTGACGTGTCATATATAGTATTTCTTAAATTATCGACCATTACAAATCTTAAAATTTCAATTTTTCCATCTCCAGGGTACTTTTCATAAACCTACAACAACAGAAGGCCGACAAAAATGGACGCATCACGTCGACGGCTAGCCAAAGAACTCAGTCAGTTGGTCACCGAGCCTCCAGAAGGAATGTCAATTGATTATGAAGAGGCTTCGAAAGACCTACTGAATTGGACCGTTACCGTAAATGGAGCACCGAACACGCTGTACGAAGGCGAGATCTTCAAATTGCTTTTCAAATTCGACAATCAATATCCATTTACCTCGCCTGAAGTAGGTTTTTGAAGAGTTTTAGTTTTTTAGGTATTAAAGTATGAAAAGAGATTGATTTTGATACCAGAAGGTTAAAAAATTAGGATTTTACACTTTATAAAATTTAAAAGAAGAGCGCTTAACAATCTTAAAAAATCTAAAACTGCCATTTCCAGGTGACCTTTGTTGGATCCCACATCCCAGTCCACCCGCACGTCTACTCCAACGGTCATATTTGCCTGTCGATATTGTTCGACGACTGGACGCCAGCCCTGAACGTTCAAGCAGTTTGTCTTTCCATCTTATCCATGCTATCATCGTGCCAAAAGAAAGTGCCACCAATGGACAATACCGCCTATGTCAACACCTGTCACAGTCGGCCCAGCATGACTCGTTGGTGGTTCCATGATGACAAAGTCTAGAACGTGTAGTTGAGAATGTGGCAAAAGGAGTGGTAGAAAGGATTTAGAGTTAAAATGGCTAAGAAATTCTTTTAACGGCATTTTGTTGGATTTGTTACCTAAAATTAGAGCGTTTGTTACGTACTTTTAAAAAGCTTTTTAATAACTAGAACAATAACTTTTTTCGAATTTTTAGAAGACAAAAACTTATTTTAAACCCGATTTTATCTTTTTTCAAAATTTCCTAGTCAAAGCCAACCTTTTGCCACAGTTTTGTGTATAATATACTTATTCTTCTCCTTTTATTTCGTTTTTAAACAATTGTCGCTTTTCAAAAGTCTTGTTATAAATTGATATAAAAACAAAAGTCTACAACGATCTTCCGTCTCTCTAGATGAAGCAAAAATCAAAAGTTGTTAATATTGTATATTCGAAATTGTAATATAAATAAATTTGAATTTTCTAAAGGTTTAGAAGTTTGTTAGATTCAAATCGTGTTTTACTAGATGCATTTACAGATAGGCTATATTTTTTTTGTAAAAGCTGGGGTAGTTAAAAAAAGTTTTGCAAAAAAATTCGATCAAATTTAGCCCATATAAGCCTAGAAGCGACCATGTCCCCAGCACGTTCAAGTCCCCATCGTGATCATTTCCCCAGCATGATTACGTCCCAAGCATGATCATGAAGATAATGTCCCAAGCATGATCACGGCCTTAGCATTATCATGTCCCCAGCATAATAATGTCCCCAGCATGATCCTGTCCCCAGCATGATCAGTCCTCAGCATGATTACGTCCTAAGCACGATCATGAAGATAATGTCCCAAGCATGACCATAGCCTTAGCATTATCATATCCCCAGCATAATAATTTCCACAACAATATCATGTCCCCAGCATAATCACGTCACCGTTACAACAATCTCTCCAAAGAATGATCATATCCCCGGCATGATCATGTCCCCGGATCGATCATGTCCCAAACACGAATATGTCCATCACTGTACTTTAAAAAATCTAACCTCTCAGAAACACACCCAAACTTTTAAAATCAAGTTTTGTAAGTTCCCTGTCCCTCTAATACATGTCCCAAACGGGGACATGATCATTCCGGGGACATTTTACCTAAATTCCTTTGACAACTGATAAATTTTACCTAAATTCCTTTAACAACTGATAAAGAACAAATTAAATTAATTTTTTAATGCAAGATTTGTTATACTTGTTTCTGATTTTGTATCTTACACTGGTTTTTGTGGTTCCGTGTTGTAATTTTGTTGATCTAAATCTTTTACTTAACTTTTTAATTTTAGATGCATAAACTACAGGTCTACACAATCAAGGGATCATTGTTAGATACCATAGAATGTAATACGGGTAATACAGTTGTTGAATTAGTTAAAGATGCACTGGCAAAAAAGAAAATCAAGATTGAAGAAGCTCGATGCTTGCATCAGATGGGTAAAGACGGAAAATGGTTCAAAATTAAATGGAAGGCGAAGGTCCCTAATGTACCAACTGTTTTTAAAGTTACAAAGGACCCATTAAAGGTAAGAAAATTAATATTTATATTTTTTTGTGTTTAGATGAGATTGAAACATCGGATTCGAGTAGTCGACTTTCAAGGAGAACAAGTTGGTTTGATTCCCACGAAATCAGGTCGAATTGTGAAGAATATTGTGAGTGAAGTTGCTTCTGTGTTAGAGTTGGAGGTGGAAAAAGTTATGAATGTTGAAGTGTTGAAGGACAAGAAATTCAAGAAGGCTCCAATGAATGGAAACATTGAATATCGCGATATTGTTGTTGTTACTGTTGATGAAAAGGATAGGGTAAGTAGATTTGGTTTTATATTTAGATTTAGTTAGTAAATAGTAAGATCTTATTTAAAATTTTCTTTTAGGAGCGTATCAGACTCGAAGATGGAGAACCGATTCTTCCGCGATGTTTGACGATATTAAGATTGGAGGACCTGTTACGAAGTTATAAACATGTCAGTTTAAATTTTTTGATTTTAGGGATTTGATGATATTTAGGATTTAGAAAGGTTTATTTTTAACATTGTGTTCTGTCAATTAATGATTAAACAAATAAATAAATGCCATTTTCAGCCATCAAAAGGCAAAGAACCACGAGGAAAGTCGATTGATGTGGAAGAATTTATCGAAAAATTAAAAGGCGGTTACAGTGTGACAGAAGACGAAAAATATTTGATCTCAAGAAGTGTAGTAGACCCTTTATATGATCATTGTTTGACCAGGGGAAGACCGTGGCGTAATGAATGTCGACTTTACTTGAACAACCTCTTTGAACCTTATCCTCAACTTCACGTGGTAGGTGGAACTTTTTTTATTATTTCAATAGGATAGTTGAGACTAGGCTTTCATTTTGCTTTGGTAGCTTTATCTTGGTCAAAAAGTGCGTAGAATTATATTTTATTTGCTTTTTAATGCTGTCTTGTTCTAGCTAGTGTTTGGCCTTTTATAGTAATGTTTTGTGGCATTTTGTAAATAATGTGATGGGTTTTAGGTAGGATAGGTTAATTAAAGAATGGCAGCAAAAGAGAAACATCAAAGAAAAGCGTGTTTGTTAAAGCTTAGTTTTATAAACTTTTGGGCTAAACTTGTAATGGACATCTGTCTAAAATTTTAAATTTTTTCAACATTTTGTTAATAGTGTTATTCTTGTTTTTTAATATTTTTTTTATATTATGCATTCTTAAATTAACAAATGTAAAAATTGAAAGATTTTAATTAAATTACATAGTATACACAACGTGGCCAAAAACGTTATAAAGTAGCGATTTTTTCAGCAAGACTTTGTATCTGCCAATCGAAATAATCAAATGGATTTGATTATTTCAAATTGCCGGATTCGACAAAGGCAACGTAAACATAAAATGCTGAAATACTTGGCTAGTCTACAATTAAAATAATATGATTAAGTACTTGGTTAGACTTTAAGTAAAGAAACGTACTGAAAAAGCCTGTTTTTAAAATCATTTTTTATTCTTCTAATATTTACACATTTCTACTTTGAGAAGAAAGTAGCTAGAAAAGGCTAAGAAGACAAAAAATGATATTCTACGCATTTTTGACCAAAAGTCAAAAATGATATTTGGATTTTTTGGCAACTATGATGTGCGTCTACTATATTATGGCTAGTTAAGGCTTTACTTTTATAGGTGGACTATGTAACATCGTGTGATCATAACGTAGAAGTAGGAGTGTTTGAAGGCGTCATTTCTAATTGGGTTAACCGAATCAAACGTTTGCGTAAACGAAATATGAAAAATTCATAATGCAACTGTTGTAATTACATTGTAAATTCAGTATAACGAAAATCTCGTATAACGAACAACTTTTTAATTATCGGCTATTGTTACGCAGTTTGTTTAAAACTCTTGTATATTTTATAATTCACGAGCCATTTGTTGTCAGAAGTTTCACAAAATTTTATAAAGTTTGTCATGGACTTTTATAAATTTTGTAGTTTTCTAAAAACCAGAAGAGCAATAGTGTCATTTATTGAATTCTTCGTACTTTTAACCTACGTCTTTTTGTATTTAAAATTTAAAAACCTTAACAAGGGTAATGAACTTTTTTAATAGGTTTGATAGGCCTGCAAGAGGGCAACTAGTCCGGGCACCTTTACACGTCCATACCTAAACATTTGGTTTATTTTTTGCATGTTTTCAGGATGAATTTGTGTCTTCAAAAGATTGTTTTGTCGATTGGGATCCATTTGACAAAGTTCTAGGTAACCGGCAGTATGCGGCAAAGATTTCTAAAAAACGAAAAATGAAATGGAGCTTGGGGTTGAACTAGAAAGGGAATACAAGTTACTTTAAGATTGTTGTTTTATTGAAATAAAGTTGTTGATTCTGTAATTCTTTTAATAACTTCCATTAATCGAAGAAGCGGGAAGATAGAAAAATTAAAAATAATAAAAACTATTTTTAAATATAAAATTTTAGACAGACTTTGTGTCGTCTTCCAATTCCAAAATAGAATCCGGAGTTTTTGAAGATGTTGTAACAAACAAACGGTTTTTGTTACTTCAGTTTTGTCGGCGGAACCGAGGCGTACTGATCAATGCACTACCTAGAAGCCAAAAACGATAGTTTCCAATTTTAGTTAATAATGAAGATTGTTTAAACTAACAATAAACAACAGGTAGTAGAAATGTACTAAAACGGTATGGTTTTAGATCGATTTTGTTACATGTCATATGCGACAGTTGGAGTTTGGGCCATTTGAAGCTGTTATTGATTATAAGAGAAAAGCAACAAGATTTAGGCTAAGAAATCAACTACGCCGGTTATGCAAAAGAAATTGTTGATGTTAGTGTTGTTTTTATTAAATTGTTGTTCTATGTAAACCGGAGGACACTAATGTTTTATATTTAATTTGTATAACAGGTAATTGACAGCAGAGTTGAGCAGGGTAGATTGTATTTTGTTATAGCTGGGTTTTAATGACCAATTCATTGAAACCCTGCTACCTAAAGTTTACAATACAGTATATATACTTATATATTATTGGCGTTGTTCTACGTTCATAGTTGAAAGTACTATTGTAATCTCGGCTCCTAGATAATAGACATAACAGCGGGGCTTAGACATAAGGAACGGGCTAGGCCGGCCTTGAGCAAAATTTAGATCGGGCCGGGCCTAACATTCAGGCCCGGCCCGTTTCTCATGTCTAGCGGGGCGGGTAGAGGAGAACTTGTGTTGGCATTAATTTTTTTGTTTATTATAATCAGTAGAACCGTAGATATGTCATGCTTTTTAATACCAAAAACGGTGTTTAAAAATTTTTTTTTAAATATAGAAAAACCTAATTTTAAATATCCAAAATTCGTATTTCAGTTGGATTTCGTATCGTCGGTTAATCAAAATGTTCACAAGGGACTATTCGAATTGATTGTGTATAATCGGATTATCGTTGCCAGAGGTGTCCGTGCTAAAAATTTGCGAAATTTTTTAAAGTTAAATAAACGTTCTTGAAAGTGCGAAGAAGTAGCAATATGAAGTTATGGGACCAGCCGGAAAATTCTTGAGTATAAATTAAATAAAAAATGAATTTTGAGATTAAGTTTACTTTTTTGTTTACGTTGTGTCACTTTTTGAAGGCTTACTAAAAGACTATACAATGGAACTCTTCTACAAAAAAAATTTTTATTGCAATGAACTTTTAAACCTAACTGTACACTGTACATTTAAAATTTTTGTACATCAAAACATTTTATAACGAAAAAATTTTTAATTTTAGAGCGATTTGTTATACAGACTTTTCACTGTACATTGTAATAGCAGTTGATAGTACGTTTTAAGATTAGAATTAAAAAGTCTTTAACACCGTATTGTATTACAACAAGAAAAAGACATTATAATTTCAGATCGATTTGGTTTCATGCCGTGATCGTCGTTCTGAGTCTGGTTCTCTTGAAGCTGTTCTTGATTATATGAGGAAAGGAGAAAGGTTTAGGCGGAGAAACAGGTTACTTCGATTGGCTAGAAAGAATTGCTGATGTTTTATAAATAAGTTGTTTTATCATCGTTAATGGAAGGCGTTGTTGGATGTTTTAAAATGAATATTAAAATTTCTCTCTGCTGCTGTTTTTTTAGGGATCCGTTGCTGGTTTTGTAGTTTATAATTTTCTTTAAATTCTTTAAAACTGTGGCTTTATGAGAAAATATATATTGGCATCGTTATAGATCGATTTTGTTTCATCTCATGATCGAGCTTCTGAAATCGGGCCCTTTGAAGCTGTTCTCGATTATAGGAGAGGAGCAAGATTTCAACGACGAAACAGATTACTTTTGATAGCTAGACGAAATTGTTGATATTTTTTTAGTAAATTGTTGTATAGTTCAGATTTATAATTTTTTACTAATGCTTTGGAGCATTAAGTTGGGAATTGGTACAAAAAAGTGTTATAATTTTGATTTTTTATTAAATAAAAAACAGTGATTATGTAAGAGGAGATAAGTAAGATAAAATGAAATTAATTTTTTTGATATATTATCAGAAAAATCGTTTTAGGACGACTTTGTTTCAAATCGTAAAATCGTAGAGCCCTTTGAAGTTTGCATGAAGAATCAGTTTCTAGTGGCAAAAATTAGTCGAGAACGTAGATTACTCCGGTTTTATAAACAGCATTTCTCATAATAATTGTTTAACAATAAATTTGAATTTCGGTGTTTGCATTTTTTAATGTCTTAGCAAGTTAAAATAAGGAAGTTTTAAAATTTAAAAATTTTTGTCGATTTTAGGATGAATTCGTTTCTCCAAGGGATCGTAACATTGAGAGGAACCCATTTGACAATGTTCTTGTTAATCGTCAGTACATTGACCGGCAATCTAGAAGATGTAAAATGAAGTGGAATCCGAAACTGCATTAAACAGGTATGTTTAATTTGTAATTGTTAGGCAAACCTTAAAGTTACTTACCATCAGGGCCGGGCGCGAGGGGGGGGGGTACCCCCAGAAAAAAAATTTTCGAAAAAAAATTTGAACGTGGTCCCCCTGTGGATTTTTGGAAAAAAAAATTTCGCAAAAAATCGGCACAGGTAGCTAGCTACCTTTGCCCCCTCACCATTATGCAGGAGTCCCACAGTGTAAAAATATGGACTTTTATTAAATTATGATTTAAAAAATCATAATTTGCGGAAAAATGGGTATGGTAAAACTGCTTTAACTTCAAAATTTTGAAAAATTGTTAAATATTGTCCTTTAGATAGTTGACCTAATAAGTAATTTAAAATTACATAAAATTTTGGGCTTATAATTATTTTTTATAAGTCGTTATGACCAAAAAAAAGTAATTTTTTGGCCTTTGGCGAATTGAATTTTTATTGATTTTTTTTTCAAAGACTTCATGTTTAAAACACTGCAACTTGTGCTGCTTTATAATATTCAACTTATCGTAAGTTTATTTTTTAATTCGCGAACTTATTACCGAATATTCTAATAACTACGTATTATTATATGTAAGCTACAATAAGCTTTAAGATAATCGAAAAAATCAGATGTTTCTAATACGTATTTTAATCATTTTTTTCTGTTAACGACCAATCATTTGTTCCTCCAGTAAACAGTCCATCCATTGGAGTACGATGATTGTAGGTGAATGAAAGGTGATCGCGAGTTCTGGATTCTCAACAATTTTCTTCCAGCATCGTAGCTACTTTCCGTCTTATTCACATAAATTTTAAGGTTGTTGACTTCAATGGAATCAAAGTCGATTTCGACTGGGTAGCCAAGGATTTCAATTTCCTCTATCGGTGGAATCTTCTGGTCAACTGTGTCGTCTTTGTCTTTTACAATGACAACACGACCAACGGTTGGTGTAGCCGTCACGAAGATGACATAATGTTTGTGTTGGTAAAGTCGATAACCATTGACTTTGTTTTCATGCAGATAGGCATCATTATCACCATCGTCCCAGAAGAGTTCACCTTCTGCCTTCCACAAGAGGTCGTCGATCTTCTCGAGCCCAGCTACGATCTGTAGATTATTCTCGCGTGATTTCTGAGTATTCATACCTGGGGCTTGTCGAGGCAGTACCACACCGTGACGTAGAAAAGCTGGTGCTGATGTGTCTTTTGGAGATTCGAAAGTCGCCACAACTCCAGACTTTTCTACCTGTTTACCGTAATTTTTACCGTAGAAAGTGTACCAAACAGAACTTGGCAAATAACCTTTGACCGTAGTTGTACCGGGCCATACATTTGGTATAACAAGTACTGCTGGTCCCCACATAAATTGATAGCTGAGGGCATGCGTATTTTTGTCTTCTGGGAACTCGAAAGCGACCGGTCGAATTACAGTACCTCCGTTTTGGGATGCTTTGTAGTGCAGAGCGTAGAGGTAGGGCAGGTGACGGTAACGGTATTCATTGGCGATTCTTGTCACTTTGGCTACTGATGGCCATACTGAAGGGTCTTGGTTGGGTTGGTGAAGGTCGTTGTGGTTTCTGAAATTTTAGCTTTAATTCATTTTCACCTGATGTTACGTGTAAAGCTTTACTTTGCCCTACTTCTACCCCTACTCTATTTATGCCTCTAGTTTTACCCCTACATACACCTCTACTCTGTGGTAACCCTACCCTACCATACCTGTAAAACGAATGAAAAGCACCGAGTTGCTGCCATCTCAAACACAACTCTTCATTGCTCACTCCGATGAATCCACACACATCTGAACCTACAAATGGTATACCAAAGATGTTAAACTCTTGAACTCCAATGACACTAGTTCTCAAATCCTCCCATCTGGCAGTGTTATCACCCAACCAATGGCCTCCATAGTGACCAGATGAAGCGAATGTGCTTCTACTAATCACTTGACCACGTTTTTTCGTAGCGTTACGTAGAGCATCGTATGTTGCAATAGTTTCCTTCAAGCCATACAGATTCTTTACATCGTAAAAGGTCTCTTTACCTCGGTTGGCTGTAGCCAACATGCAAATGGTATTACCAGCCAAAGGATAATCTTTGCCGAATTGATAAGCGGCCGAGGTACGATAGGGAGGGTTATCATGGTAGGCATCTAGTCCTGTGGTTGGGCACCATAATGGCTCTATATTGGGATGGTCCGGGTTGTCGTAGTACCATGGGTTGGGGTCGTTGGTGGCAAACGCCGCTGGCTCATTCATATCAATCCACAAGCCTTCGAAGCCGACACGGTCGTAGAAGTCGTGAATCTCGCTCTGCCACCATTCTGCTGTTTTCTGTGTATCATCGTAGAAGTCGGGGAATACGATGTGACGATCCGGCCACACTACTGATAACATATGGGTGGTACCTTTGGTGTTATCATAGAGATCGTTGATTTTATTCTGGACTAGATCTTTTCTAGGCCATGAAATGAAACTGGCATTCTTGGAGTTGGCGTTATCGAAAATTGCATTGTCTACTTGGATGGCGGGGTCTAGGATTACTGTAACGTGCATTCCTTTCTTGTTCAGCTCTTTTACAAAATTGGGGAGGCGGTACCATTTCTGAAAGGAATTTTGGTATCAAAATGTAGACAAGAAATGAAAAGGTAGAGCTAAATACTATCAAAATTAAAAAAATTAGGTATAAAAACGAAAATTGTTGACTTACATCTTGTCCAACCGTGAAGTCCTTATACCTCTCCATGTAGTCAATATCCGGAATGATGGTGTCAATAGGAATATTGTAACTCAATACTCGATCCAAGGTATCACTCATATCCTGCAGCGACTTGTAGCCATACCTACACAGCTGGAAACCCAATGCCCAATAAGCCGGTAAGTAGGGTTTTCCGATAACTTGTTGATATTGTTTTATCACATCTTCAGCTGATGGGCCAGGGAATAAGAAAATTTCAAATTGGCCACCAATGGCGCGGTAGACCAGATGTGGCGCTGGACCGGTCGAAACTTCTTGAGCATTAGAGTTCAGTACGAAAACACCGTGAGCTTTGCCATCATCTTCGATTCCAATGTAAAAGTTGTGAACACCGTATAGATTCATAAAGTTTTCGACATCTGACTTTGGAGGTTGATCACGGGCGAATAGTGGCCAGGTTTTGTACTTTGAAAAGTCGTGTTTCAGGGCTTGATGGATGTTTTCACCGAAGCCATAGATCGAAGTTGTGGGGATTTTTGTGGCAATTTGGATGAATTGGGGACCAAAGATTAGACCGCCTGAAAAACGTTTATTTTTAAATTTTTTCAAGCATTGTGAACGGTAGTTTTAAATTTGAAAAATTAAAAAATTTTTTAGAGTTTATTTTGGTCTTGTTTTTTTTACTGTATACTCCTTTCCTACCGCTGTCTTCACTTATAATAGTACCCCTACTTTATCATAGTCTATCCCAATTTTCCCTCCCTACCCCTACCCGTGTACCTCTAATCCTACCCTTACCTTCACTTTTAATATTAGGTTGAACCAAAAGTAGCGGGACACTTTTCAGTTATTTTCAATTAATATGTGTCCCGCTACTTTTGGTTCAATCTAATAATACCCCTACTGAATCATAACCTATCCTACTTTGCCTTACCTACTCCTAACCCCTATCTCACCGTTACCAATACCTCTATTACTATCCTTACCATGCTTTACCCTACTTTTCTTTCTTGTACCCCTACCTTACTCTACATTATCTACCGTTCTTAATTTTTCCTACCTTGTCTCTTGTGTCCTTTTACAAAAACCTTACTTTTTTAAAAATTAAAAAAATATACTTACCAATCGAAGTATCCCAAATCGTATTATTGTTCGATTCCCTTTCAACCGAAAAAGTGAAAAGTTCATCATCGTGCAGTTTAAAAACTAATTTCTCATCAGATTCGATCGTTGGGCTTTTATCCAACTCAATATCTGGTTCATAAGCATTTGGATCACCAATTTTGATTCTCAATCCAGATCCAATCTCTGCCGTTTCTACTCGGATCTTCTCACTTGTTTCGCCATAGGGATTCTTGGCCGAATATGGGTTGATACGAAGTTTGTAGGTGTTGGTTCCGGTCAAAGGGTTGTGTTCATATGGGTCAGCAAAGTAACCGCTTTGTCGAGGGAAATGACAGGCTGGGACGTTGGCTTCGGCCTGAAAATTTTTTTAAATAATATGTGGTGTTGTTGTAGTGAAAATGCAATATGGTTTAACACAAAATAAGATAGAGTAGGGTTATACCAAAGAGTCAATGCTTGCATACAGTAGGGTAGGTACAGTAGGGTAGGGTGCTGTAGGATAAACTAGAGTAGGGATGGTAGAATAAGGTAGGGTAGATTACTGTACATATATAGTATTATTGAACGATTTTGGTCACAAAATTAAAAACGGGGAAGTATAAAATTTTTTAAAATTAATAACAAAAAATTATACTACCTGCTCCTTTGCTTCATGATATGGACAATAATCTGGACAATTGTCAATAGTAGAACCGGGAATTGGGCTACAGTCTACTCGTTCTAATGGATCCACAACTTCACTTGAACGTAGCTTTGAATAGGCTATAGGTATAGTTAAACACAAAAGTATGAGCCATCGCATGGTGCTAAAAATGAAGATTTAAAGCATATTAAAAGATACTTTAAAATTAGTAAAATAAATAAATAAAGCGGAAAATTAAAAATAAAGTGGTTTAAAAGTACACTATTAACACTGTTTTGTTAATGAACGTTTACAAAAAATTTATGAGTTGCTTCCCCTTCATATAAATGGGTGTACAACGCACCGTGCTTTTCCTGGACCGCCGGACCGGTCTGGAAAAATATTTTGGTACTGATTCAGCCAGGCCTTACGAGCGGGCCGAGCCCGCCTTGAGCTAAAATTTAAACAGACTGATTTTGAAATTTTAAAACGGGTTGAGCCAGGCTGGGCCTAGATTTTTTGACCAAGCCGGGCAAGGAAAAAAAATAAAGGGCCGGGCATAAACATTAGGTCCCAGACCTGAGCCGAGCCTCAAAAGTGGACTCGTCTGGTTCCTTTCTACCTTTACTCAGATAGGTCGTAGCTGCTTTTTTTAAAAAAGTTTAAAAATATCTTGTTTTTATTCTTTTGCTTGGAGTATTAAAGTTTTTACTAAAAACCATAATTCTATTTTAAAAACTTATTAAATTCGCCTCCAAAACCTTTACTCAAAAACATTATTTATAAACTTAAACTCAAACAAATTTTATAAAACTCAACCTTTTTTCGCAAAAACCTTATTGAAAATAAATAATTTTAGGTATGAAACGTTTACTTTTGTCACTACCAACACACAAAAAGGCATTTCCAAAAGAACACGAACAATGCTAAGCCAAAGTTTCATGTTGTTGTTCATTATCAATCAAAATGCTTGTTTGCTTAACGAATCATAAATTAATTAGACAGCATGTCACATAAGTACTGATAAACAAATGCTTTTGAATATTCTTGAAAAGTGATTAGAAAAGTGCAAATTTTGCAGCGAAAAAACTAAAATTTATTAATTTTTAAGATAATACATAATAAAGTACCGGGTTTACAGGGGCTTTAAAAACCGTTTTATCGTTTTTGCATGTGAAGACATTTGTAATTTACCGACAAGACTTTTTTTGACAGTCAAATAGATCTGAAAGAGGATCTACTAAAAATTTTGTAAGTTCGGCATTAGCTCAGCCCTAAAGGGTTGTCCCGTACATGTTAGTCCTAAGGCCGGTACTTAAAACCAAAACCCGGAGTCTCTTACTGATTAGGATAGGGTTTTCAAAGCAAGACCAGTGTAGGGATGTCCAACAGCAAAAACAAATTGATTACAGGGCTAGGTAATGTTAATTCTTAGAATGTTAAGTAAATCAGAAAGGGAACCTACGAGGCCCGGCCAAAGCAAGTTTGAAAGGCGGCCGGACCGGCACATGGGCCCAAAGCCTGGGACTTAAAATAAGGCCTCAGGGATTTAGCTTACGACCCGCAACGAATGATTTGTCTTGAAGGGTGTAAAACGAATCTGATTTTAAAGTTACTTACTTGAGAATAATTTTTAAAATTTTTAAAAAATTAGTTGTTTAAGTATTGGTTATGCAGGGAAGAGAAGTAGTACATTAAAAATTGTTCTAGTTATTATTAATATGAGTTTATATAAGGAGCTGCACGCCACCCTGAACCAATAGAAAACGAATTATTTTCTTTTTTGACATTTCGCCGCATCACGGTTGGTTTTAAAATTAAAAGCTGAAAATGTAAAAAACTTTTATGAAACTATTGCAATTGTGAAATAAAAAAAATTATATTTTTTAAATATACTAGCTGGTCTAAAGAAAATCTATTGTGAAATGGACACAGCCTCTTTACAAGTCTACGCTCAAATATTTTTTTTGAATTTTCACAAGATATAATCAAATAAAAAAAAGCTTTATTAGGGCTATTTAAAAAAAATTTTACTTTTTTTCAATATTATTTGCGTGTTTGCATGTAAACTGATTTATGCGCATATTTACAAATTTTTAATAGACCGAAGGAATAATCGAATTTTTTATGCTTTCACCTGTTAGGCCCGTATTTTGATATCACATTTTTTGTTTTATTACAAAATTGTTTCAATAAAACATTTGAAGTATTTAGATTTTCAACTAGTTTTTAAACGGATTTTTTTATTTTCATTTTATTTTTATAATTTTGTAAAAATTCAAAATAAATTTCAAAAAATAACGGTTTTATAGTTTTCTTTATTTTTACAAAAAACGTACTAAAATTATACCATTTTTATATTATATAGTGTAAAAATTACCAGTAATTATCTCTACGTCTTGAACTTCTAGCTAGACTTCTAGCGCTTTTTAATGCGTATGAAATCAAAAGATATGTAGGTGCTCGCGTCTGTGGTGTAATGGTCAGCATGGTTGCCTTCCAAGCAATCGACACGGGTTCGATTCCCGTCAGACGCATTACTACTTTTTGGCTTTTTTACTCTACAAATGTTATGTTTTATTAATATTTATAATAACAAACTTTACTTTATTTAACATCTTACTAGTTTATTATTAGTTTTTTGATATTGAAAATAGGAAAAAACATATTTTCTTAGGATAAAACGTATTTTTTTTAAGTAAATTTTAGTATTTTTCTTGCTTTTTTTTATTTTCAACTCTTCATAATGCAATTTTTTTAGAGTATCAACACTCGACTACATTGCGAAATGTTGCTAATGTCATTTGGAACATAAACATCAGACATGGCATGTGTTTGAGGACCACGAATAGTTCCAAACCGGGCCCCATCTGTGGCCGTCGTTTTCCTCGGAGAATTTTCAAGTTTTTGCGGAATCTGAAGGATTTCGTGTCCTCATTCAGCGTTTTTTCTGTTTGCATGTCCAATGTCATGTCATGGGAGTGGGGGAGAGCATAAGCATGCATGTTATTCTTTGTTTATTATTCTTCGAACTAACTCGATCAGACGTAGATTATATTTTAGATAGCGGATTTTTGGTTCACAATGAGGGCTTTTGGGATGTTTTTGTTGGTTACTATATTAACTTTTTAAAATTGTACTAAAATTTAAAATTTTTATTTAATAATAAAAATTAGTTTTTGGTTTTTCAACTTTTTTGTACCATATTTTAGATCTAAAACACCTTAAATTTTCTATAATTAACAAACAACTAAACCTCTAACCAATCCCAAATCATTCACATTGATTTTCCTCCAAAAATCAAACCAAATTAAAGTTTGACCCTAAGGGAAAACGTCTTGAAATCTCGATAAAACTGTCGATTATGAAGGGTCTTTGAGCATTTTATGGCTTTTTAACACTTTAATGACATGTATAAAATGTATTTTTAATATGTTTTATGGGCTCTAACGGTGCTACATAATAGAAACGGCCATTGTGTCGATTTAATCGACATAAAACGCGAAAAAAGGCTGTAATTTTGATAAAAAAACGTGTTTTTCAGCTGTTTTCATTGAGGTTTTTGACAAAAATAAAGGATGTTTTAAGCATTTTTGATGTTCTTTATAGTTATTGAGGGTTTACTTGGGTCTCGTACTTTATAATTGTATGTTTTGGGTTCAAATCTAAAAGTTTCTTTTAATTTAGGTATGAAAAAATCTTTAGCCTGCCAAAAAAGGCGTAAAAATGATCAAAAATGAGAAAAAATTATCAGAAAATATTAATTTTGCCAAATATTTATATTTTTTTACCAAATTTTAAGTTACATTTTTCAAAAACAACCCATAAACCCAACAAAAATTATCAAAACCCTTTATTTTCCATTTTCAAACCAATAAGTGCCGAATCAAAAAAAAATTGACAGCGCGCGTCTGTGGTGTAATGGTCAGCATGGTTGCCTTCCAAGCAATCGACACGGGTTCGATTCCCGTCAGACGCAGAACAACTGTTTGACTTTTTTGGTTCAAAAATGTTGTGTGTTTGTTGTTTTTATTTGTCGATGAGGTATATTTATACATTATGGTTATTTTTTACTTTAGTTTTTATACTAAAATTTCACTAAAGGGATTTTTTAAAAGGTATACGATTTTTTATTTTTTGGGGGTTTTGAATTTTAACAACGATATTTTTTATAGTACGAGGTAAAATACGTTGTTGTTATTTCCCACAAATGATTTCTTATATTTTTGAATTTCAAATATCAAGTTATTTTAATATTTTTAAAACTTTTAGATGTTTTTTGTGATTTTAAACTTATCTTCCAATATTCTTCAAAGTCGATGTTCAATTTGAAGACATTTTACTTCCCATTCCATTTCCCGTTGTCCTATAAAAGGGCATGATACATTATATATTGGTTTGGGCTTTGAGAAAGTTTATTTTTTACGAAAATCCTGCCCATGCTCTCCCTTTTTTGGGCTCTCTTTCCCCTTTTTCGGCCATGATTTCTGGAAAAAGCCTCGGGAGCGCAAAGTTTTTTTGATAAAAATAGTCTTTTTCGCATATATTAAAGGCGATTTGTGGCTACATTTGGCTGTTTCGGGAGCTTCTGGGACTAAAATAAGGAAACGTTTATATAATCGGCCAGATATGGAAGTGGGGGAGGAGCTGAATTGGGAGAAGGTGGAGGGGATGAATTGTGGAGAGGAGAAGGAGACGACTTGAGATATAAAACAATAGAGATAATATTGTAAAGAATTGAATATTTACTACTAAGAACGATTTCTTTCTTATTATAGTTGTTTTGTAGTTGCTTACCATGGAAAATACCTGACCGGCTTCACTCAGAATCAAGCCAGTTTTTATATGAATTCTTTTTACCCCCAATAGTACTCATAAAATAGTTTAGCTTACGCTTTTAAGTTTTAAATTTTTAATGTTTGAATTTTTCGCTAATTTAACAAATTTGGCATTGTGTTTTAAACCTTTTGTTTCAGATAGCGTACATTTCAAAATTTAAAAAGGTCAATTTAAAGGTTTGCCTACTAGTGTAATAAGAAAAATGATTAAACGTCAAAAATGACAAAGTTGTAAGCTTGAAACACAATGCCAATTTGACGGGAAATCCAAAAATAATTTTTTTAATCTCGATTTTCTCGAGATTTACTGGAAAAAGCAATTTGCAATAGTACTTTGGGCACGTTTATTTTAAAATTTTTCGACAAAATTTTCACTTTTAGGCTTTTTTAAATGTTTGTTCATCTCTTGGGCTACAGTCATCAAAAACCTTATTTCGACCGGTCGATAATCTTTTTTTTCACAATAGCAGATTTTTCCATTTTTAATGACAATATAGTATATATACATTAATTTATGTTGAAGAAATCAGTTCCTGATTGACTTGTGGCCTTAGAAAATCTTTTTTTTTTCGTCTTTTTGAATAATTGAATTTGAAATAAAATTAAAATAAATTTGCATTTGGTTAATGCAGCTTTCTTTTTCTTTTCTTAACAAGTAGTACTTTAACAAGTTTGGTTTCGAAAGGAAGCTTTCAATTTGTTAGGCGAGCTGTTTTTTGGAAGTTTTTTTTTGGGTATGGCAGGTTTATGGTGTGCTTAGGAAGGAGTAATTTATAGGGCATGGTAGATCAGCCATAAAAGAGGGTAGAGCGTTGTAGGATAAGTCAGGGCGATACAAGAGAGCGTAGGGGTAAGATAGGGCAGGGCAAGAAAGGCAAGAGAAGGCAGGATAGTGCAGGGCAAGGTATGGTAGGACAGGGTAGGGTAGGGTAGGGTAGGGTAGGGTAGGGTAGGGTAGGGTAGAGTAGGGTAGGGTAGGGTAGGGTAGGGTAGGGGTAGGGTAGGGTAGGGTAGGGGTAGGGTAGGGTAGGGTAGGGTAGGGTAGGGTAGGGTAGGGTAGGGTAGGGTAGGGTAGGGTAGGGTAGGGTAGGGTAGGGTAGGGTAGGGTAGGGTAGGGTAGGGTAGGGTAGAGTAGAGTAGAGTAGGGTAGGGTAGGGTAGGGTATTGTAGGGTAGGGTAGGGTGCGGGACCGATTTTAAAACTTTATTTTATTGTTACCTTTTTTCAACGCGCCATTGTTTTTGCATCTAAACATTTTTTTCAATTTTTAAATTTTATAACATTCTTTTTACAGGTCTCATCTCAAATCACATTTTTCAAGATTATCTTCTCATATGTGGAACGGAATCAGGAATTTGCGGCCCAACAGATAAGCGGCACCCTCTCCTCGCCCTTATCAAATCATCGTTATGCGCCCAAACGGAATTATTTGTTCAGCCGCAGGCTGCGCGAGGTAGGTGACATGTTGTACGGCAGATGAGGTTTTTTTTTGATTTTTCTTCTTTTGTAAAGAAAGTCTTGCCATATTCTGTATTGTAAAGAAATTTATTGCCATTTTTAGTTCTGTAAAGAAAGTCCTTGCCATTTCTTGTTTTGTAAAGAAAGTTGTTGCCTTTTGTTTTTGATATTGTTATTTTGAGTTGTTAAACGGTCTTCAATGGTTGAAATTGAATCCTTTGTATGCGAAACACTTGAAATACCACACTTAAAGTTCATTTTTCGGTTTTTAACGTGGATTCGCAGACTTTTAAATGCCTCCGGGAAGTGGATTAAAAAATTTTTAATTTTGAAATTTTTGAACTTTTTTAAAAATTCTGGATTTTATTTTTGTCAGGTCTTAAATTTTGAAATTTTATGTTTTCTTACGTTTTTTAAGGTTTAAAATGGTTTTTTAAAATGAATGCACCGTGCAAAGAAACTTTTGCCAGGGTCGGCCATTTCAAAGCCATTTTTAATCAGTTTAGACTGAAATTTTATTTATCTTTTTGGTTTCAGACTACGTAAAAATATCTGGAGAATCTTTTGATATAAATTTCCTTTAAAAAATTATCTTTTCCATATCAAAAACCAGCTTTATTACTCAAAATACACTCAAAACCCTTAACTTTCACCCTCTTCGTCTCGCCTTTTTCATAAAACGGGTCGAATTTTTTGATTTAAAAATTACAAAAAGAGCCTCGAGAGTCTCGAGTTTGATTTCCATTTTACGAAGCAAACGAATTTTTTATGCTTTTGAGCGAAATGTTTATATTATTTATATTATGGATGACTAAACATCATTTGACATCATTATTCACGTTTCATAGTTAGGCTAATAGGGTTGCGAATTTTGGGAATGAATCTTTATACCATGGAAAATTTGAAGATGCTTTATATTTTATAAAATGGGGGGGTTTATTTGATAATGTCAAGTGTAATATAGGGTATTATAGTGAAACGTTCAAAGGGCAGTTTTTAATTATTTTTATGGGTCTGTGAGGTCATTTGAAGTGTTTTGGCATATTCTTTAGTTTTCATGAAGTTTTTTTTAAATTTTGTCATAATGAATGTCATTATGACATAAAAAATTTATTTATTACTAGAATCATTTAAAAATTATTTTTGAGATTTAAAACTACCTTTTGTTTCTATAGATTAAATTTTGATCATTTCAAGTTATTTTAAAAATTTGTCATAATGACAAATTTTAAAAAATGTCATTCTGACAGATCATATACGAAATTTTTTTTAAGTTTCAATAAAATGTTTTTGAATCAATTTTAATTGCTGCATCTTTCCAAAAATACAATCTTCGATTAATTACAAGACCTTTAAAACGAAGTCACACTGACACCTTTTTCTGGACGCGCGCCGAAAAATTCGAAAAAAATTCCGTAAAATTTGGCTTTCTTCTCATTTTTTGGGCGAAATTATTGGAAATCCTAATTAAATCTGGGAGGATTTTGCAGCTGGCATTGTTCTAAAGACCCTAAGGCGGATTTTAAACCAATTTTAGGTTTGGCGTGATATATTTTGGCAGTTCTTTTAGGAAAGTATGGTTTTTAAATATTTTTTGGGGAAATTGAGGTTTTATGGTGAAAAAAGGAGGTAGTTTTGACATGTTTGAATAAAAAAATGTTTTTCTAGAATTTTTTGAAGCTTTGTAAAGAAAGTTCTTGTTATTTTAGTTGCTGAGGAGAAATTGTGTGTTGTTGTATCTTCTGTAAAGGAAGTTCTTGCCATTTTTAGATTTGTAAAAAAAGTTCTTGCCATTTTCTGCTTTGTAAAGAAAGTTCTTGCCAATTCTTCGTTTGTAAACAAAGTTTTTGCCATTTCACGTCTTGCCAAGGAAATTATTGCCATTTTTATTTGTAAACAAAGTTCTTGCCATTCCGCGTCCTGTAAAGAAAGTTATTGTCATTCCATGTCCTGTAAAGAAAGTCCTTGCCATTTATCTTCGTTAAAAGAAACCTAACTATTTTTACACCAATGTCATCGATAATCATACACTTTATCGTTCGATTAGAGCAATTAAAGAGCGATGGGATTAATTTGCTTGTGAAAAGAACTTTTTTCGATTATTTTCTTTTTGGCTTTTTCCGCTCGTTTAACTTATTTTGTTTATAAAGTAGGTAAAAAGTGTTGGGTGCGGGAGGGAAACAACGTTTTTTCGTTAGCAGCTTATATAGTTTGAAAGAGTAAAAGGTGGAACAGTGGGTTTAATTGGCGAGTACTTTTTTTTATAAAACAGAAAATGGCAAGAACTTTTTTTACAAATTATAAAATGGCAGGAACTTTTTGTACAAGGAATAAAATGACAATAACTTTCTTTACAGAATTTAAAATGGCAAGAACTTTTTTACAAAACATGAAATGGCAAAAATTTTCTGTACAGGACAAAAAATGTCAAGAACTTTCTTTACAGGACCTAGGATGGCAATAACTGATTGAATATTAAGTCTCCTTAAAACTAAAGGCATTTATGACGTTTTTAGTACGATTACTCGTTACAAACGTTTAAAAGGTAGCTCGCTAACATTAATCTCGCTAATCCCTTCTGGCTTTCAAAACAAAAAAGATATTTCCAATTAGATGAGATTAAATTTTTATAGCCTTTTAACACTTAAAGAGCTCCTACATTTTCATATTGAGGTATTGTCTTGGTTCATTGTTTTAGGGATTCTTTCTTTTCAAATTTATTAGGAATTGCATGGATAATATAAACTTTTATGAATATGTAGGCTTCTTCGGACAGGGTTTCAAAAATAGGGTTTGTTATTGGATTTTGATACTATTTCTATTGTTTTTTGTTGTAAAGTTTGTGAATTTACGATTAAATTTGAAAAATTTTTTTAGTAGTTTTTAATCTGACGTCATGAGTGATATAAAATTTTATTTTTTGGTAAAAATATTGAAAAAGTATTATAAGAATTTTATTTTAAAGGCGTTTTTGTTGTATTTAATACAAAGTTATACTATCTTACATAAGGTTTGTCTCTTTTGTGGATATTTTGACATCTGATGTTATGGATAATATAAAATTTCATTTTATGTTAGGCTGGCAGTCAAAAAATTAAAATATGATTTTAATGACTGAAGTGTAGTACTCTTTTTGTTGATTTGGACACAAGATTATTTATTTTAGGCCTATTTTGATTTTGCTGAGCGTTTGGTACCTAATGCCATGTATAACATTGATTTTTGTGACTGTTTCGTAAAATATTTTGCCACAACTTTTAATATTGAAGCCTTATAAGCGTGTCAACAAATTCTAGAGCTTTTGTTTTTGTATTTTGTGTTTACATTGTTAAAAAGTTATTTTCACTTCTAACTTAATGGCATGAACAATATAAATCTCTTATTTTTAATAATTCATCCCATTCCAGGACGACATATCAATCTGCGACGCGTTGCTGGACACCCGGTCGACCGACTCGAGTCGCCGCAGCTATCCGCATCGCTCACATCGCAGCAAACGCCCAGCCAAACGCTCCACGGCCTCCGAATTCGAAGCCACCAAGAAGAAGCTGCGGAATCAGTCCTTGGAACGACGCACGTTGAGCGACGAAAACCGACTCGCAGGTACGCCTTGATTTGATTTATTCTTGTTGCTTTCGATTTTTAGGAGCGTTTTTGGAAGAACACAGGAGGGTTTTCAAGGGTTTTGATCAAATGCAAGTGGTTTTATATTATTGTAAAGGGGTGGTTGGGGAAATGGCTTGAACTAGATGAATTTTAATTTGAAATTGGCTTAAATTTAGTGTTAAGAGCTGTAAAAGAAAGTGTTTTATTATTTTTGGTAATGTTTTTAAAGTAGTTTGAAGTTTTCAATGAGTTGTGAGGAGTTTTATGTTACAGTAGGTACTAGTAGGGCCGGTGGAAAGAAATCGTTTGACAAATGAAGTTTGTTCAATTAAAATTGAACTAATATGGTGATTACTAATATGAACCTTCATTTCTTTTGCTCTATCGAAATATAGTTTACCGACATTAGAAGGTATGCTTAAAGTATACGCTCTTTTAAGTTATAGTAGGTACTTGGGGAATTGTGGGCATGAAGTGGCTTTTAATAATTGTAATGGTGGTTAAACTGGCTGTAATGCATCTTTGAAGAGGTTATAAGATACTACTCTTACTATGCTAATTATTTATTGTAGTAGGTTCTAGGTTAGACAGTAGTAAATCGTTTTTCAAGTTGTAGTAGGTTCTTGGTGGATGTATGAGAAAAAATGAGTTATATTGAGTGGATTTAAAATAAAAGTGATTGTAAAGTATGTTTACTATATTTAAAAGACATTTTTTTTACTTATTTTGAGGGCTTGTTTGTAATGACATTAAGGTTTTATGGAAGTATGAGCTATCTTATGTTATAGTAAGCTTTTTAAGCAGGCTTTTTGCAAAAAGGTTCAAAATATGTAAAAGATTCTAGTGATTTTAATGATAGTGGTTTTTAAAGCTCAATCACATGCTTTTTCTTGTTGTATTAGGAATTTTAAATTCTGTTTTATTGTCATATATTTACATTTCAATGTAATAGCCACAAATTCTCTGAAACAATTGAAATATTATTAAGTTTGGTGACTTTAGCTTATTTTATATTGTTTGTGGCTCGCAATATTCAAATCTAAAAACATTTTCGGATAACCTTGATTTTTAAAGGTCAGAAATTTGAAAAGCATGTGGTTTTTGTGGTTTAAAAATAAGGAAATGAATATTCTTCATGGATAACATGTGTTCACCGCTTTTATTTATGTTTTCACGTTTACATAACTAGTTATAATTCATGTATGGCAAGGAAAACAGATTAGAAAGAAGCAGCAAAAGTCATTAGAAAACATGTCGGAAAGTGTTTTACGGAAGCGAAATTAAGCGGAAAAAACAAGGCAAAGGGCATGTGTAATGTAAGAAACGGCAGCCCGGGGAAGTGAAATGACTTTTAAATTGTAAAATTGACAAAAGCAAATGGGGTTGTAGTTGGGGGTTGAAAAGAAGTTAAGTATTTGGCTCAATACCATCTAAAAATCTAGTATATTAATTATAAAAGTGAAAAAAACTGCCAAAAAACAGCTAAACTAAATAAAAATGCTTATTAAACAAGCTAAAACAAGTGAAAATGACAATAAAGATGAATACAATGATAAAGAAAGTCTAAAAAACGACTGAAATCAATGGAAAAATACTAAAAAACAGCTAAAATAATCAAAGAAAAAACTAAAAACAACTAAAATAAGCTACATTACTTGCAAAAACTGCTAAAACAACCCACAATAACAACACAAATACCTAAAACCAACACAATGTTGTCCTCGTTGGTCCGTTCTTGACCTCGAGAACAATAAACTGGAAGCGAATCAGGACCGGCGCAGTCATTAACTTGTTCCTCCGGGCTGTAAATAAATTCAAACCAATGTTTTTAATTGAAGTCAAAAAGAGCTTCTTCGAGGGGTGAGAACGGCCTTTTGAAACGGAATTTGTGAAGTGCTGGGGGAGGAATTTTATATTACTTTATATTATACTAGGTGGAGTAGTTATAGGTTTATATTATAGTAGGTGGAATAGGTTTAAGTTTATTTTGTAGTAGGTGAAGAGTGAGATATGTTGTGTTTGTAGTAGTTGGGGTAGAGGCTATATTACGTTATAGTGAATGAGATAGGCATTTTTGTTCAATTTGGGCCTTAAAAACTGTTGTTTTAGTCAAAAATTTTGCCTTTGATTTGAAAAAAACAGCCATTTTTGGTCAACTGTCAACTGTATATCTAAAACACACGTTGTATGAAGTACATGAACGTATAATTACGATGCACGGCTGACATAAAAGTTAGCAGCGTATAGTTTTCCTTTTGTCGCCCGTGGAAACAGAACGAATTCGAAAAGCGAAAGTGAAAAAACGAAACGGAAATGAGATTTTGGGGAGCTGTAAAATCATTCGAAATGGTTTGAAACCTTTGTAAAATCTTTTGCTTTTGCACTTTTATACTGAAAATGTGGTTAGCTGCTGTTTGTGAGTTACTAGGGTTGATAAAAATTGTTTAGTATAAGTTGGGGAAGGGGTCATCTTGATGAATATTTTTTAACTACATTGGAAATTCACTATAACGTATCGCTCGAGGATTTAAAAATTTTTTTTATAAAGGAGTTTCAGTATAGAGGAGTTTTAAATGCTCTATGTAGTGCTAGACGGGGATTTGGAAGTTGGTCGTTATATGGAGTTTTCGTTGTAGATGAGTTCTTCACTGTTTTTTTATGGCTACTACAGTGGAATTTTTGTATATCTAACTTTTCTATAACGAAAATCTAGTGTAACGAACAACTTTTAAACTCCCGTCTACCACTGCACAGTGCATTTAAAATTCCTCTATAACAAAAAACCTTTAACGAACAAATTTTAAATCTCCGAGTGGTTCGTTATACAGGAGTTCGCTGTACGCTTTTTTATGGCTAGACAAAGGTTTATTTAGGAATTTAAAATGCTTGATTTTTTGCTGTAAAATTAAGTTTAAACTGAGGTACCAACTACAACATTATCAAAAATTTGAAACCTTCTAAAACCAAGTGCAACACTATTCTATCCGCAGCTTGTAAAAACGTAAATCACTCGAAAAGCCGCTGAGAGGGGTTTTTATAATAATTTTGTTTCCTCATATCGTTTTTACAGGTGATTCAAACGCGACGAGCCGACGAAAAACTACAATCGGCTCGAATCTTCCGCTGAATCCGAACCGGTTTCGAGCCAAAACCTCACTTCAAACTGGCGTCATTATGAAAACTGTAAGTTTAGTTCAGTTTTGGTAAGGTTTTTGAGTTTAGGGCATGGCATTTTGATTTTTAAAGATGGTAGAAAAGACTTGTCATCATTTTGTATTAGCTTATATGGAAAAAAACGACAAGACTTTTTTTGGTGTTTTATCGTATGGAATTGTTGGTAGGGATGTTTTTTAATGTTCTAAGAAGAAGAAAAGATGTAGAAATACATTTTTATGGTTTTAGTTTAATATCTTTAAAGAGAAAAATTTTTAAAAACTTTTTGTGAATTGGTCCGGCTTTTATTTTTAACAACTTTCTGACTAGAAAATGTAATATATTTCTTAAAAATGATGTTAAAACACGTTTTAAAAAATATTTATCTCATTTCAGTTGGACTCGGACAAGCTCCGCTCTCCATCGATAGCCCAACCCACTACCAGCACCTACTCTCCTGCGGTAATCGCCCCAATCTCCCAAGACCATCACCACTACAGCCGTGCCGCCTTACCCACAGTCCGCCGGACATTGTCGGGCCAGGTGTCAGTGGAGAATGGCAACGGCTTCTACGCTCCATCAGTTCAACCAGAAATGGTGGGAAAACAAAAGTTCAAAGCGCATCAAGGCAAAAACAAGTTTTGCCTGAACGGGCGGATACTCATGTCCGAGCAGAATGGCGCTTTCTACGTTACTATTGGCATGATCTTCACTACTATTACCGCATTTTTTATTTTTGAGTAGGTTTTTGGGGTTTAAGGTGGATTTTGTTGGTTTTATGAAATTTTAGCATTATTTTCTTGATTTTATTTGTAATTTATCAAAAATATAATACATACCTTTAGTAAAGCGTAAAAAGTAGTACATAACGTATAAGTTTTGACGTTTTACTTAATGTGGCAAACTAATTACAAGCCTTTGAAAGTATGAAGAACGGCTATTTTCCGGCCGGAATCGAACCTTTTTGGATTTTTGAGTTTTTCAATTGCCCGTAACTTTTTATTAAAGGAAGATATGAACATGAAAATTACAGTGTACATACTTGCTTTTATGCTTCATAAAATGAACATATCGATTTTCAGCTTTGAGGTTGGTAGGGTTTAAAAAATATTGCCTAAAGTTCACAAAGACACCCGTTTTCTGGCCGGAATCGAACATTTTTAATTTTTGACTTTTTTAATTGGCCATAACTATTTAGTACAGCGATATATGAGCATGAAACGTATAGGATATATACTTTTTGTTATGCTTTATAAAATGAACATATTGATTTTTAGGTAAAATGTTGATAAGTTTTAAAAAATACTTCCTAAACTTAACTAATTAATGTAAAAAGTCGGAATTTTGAAAAATTTTAATTTTTTCATGCTAAAATCAAAATACATATTTGTAATACGTATATATATATAAATATAGCAATTGTGATTTCAGTGCTGTCTTCATCGCCGAACGGGTCTCAATCGCATTACCGGTATGTGCCGCAATTTTGTTCTTTTTGGTAATGGCAAACCTCTTGAAAACCTCATTCACCGATCCTGGTATCATTCCACGCGCCACGAACAAAGAAGTTATTGAGCAAGAACGTCTCTTCAAAATTGGTAAGAAGCCTAATATTGTTAGTTTAGGGTCAAAAAGTTTTGATAATTTTTATATTTGTAGTTTCCAAAATGTTTTTTTTGTTTTGTAAAGAAAGTTTTTGCCATTTGACATTTTGTAAGGAAAGTTCTTTTTTTTTAAATCTTTTAAAAAAATTTTTGACACAAGAATTCTTTTTATTACTTAAATTTTAATACTGATATTGTTACAGAGACGGGTAATCCCAGTGCAACAACGCCTCGAACTCGAATGATCGAAATCTTCAACGAATGTGTAGTACAGAAGTACTGCTTCACTTGTCGAATATTTCGACCGCCACGAGCATCGCATTGCTCTGTTTGCGACAATTGTGTGTTAAGGTTTGATCATCACTGTGAGTTTATGTTATACTTGTTTTTGGTTATTTTCATGTTGAATTTTGTGTTTAAAGTTTAAAAGAAATCGTCTAAAAAAGTTGTAGTCAATTTCATTTTTCTACAGACTTTTTGACCTTTATTATATTAACTTTTTCAGGCCCATGGGTTGGAAACTGTGTTGGACTGAGGAATTATCGAAATTTCTACTTGTTTGTTGTGCTATTGACTATTCTAGACTTTCTAGTTGGAGCGTGCTCAATTGCTCATCTTATCATGTGTAAGTCGTTTTTTTATTTTGGAAAGAAAGTTTTTGCATTTTAAATTTTTTTTTAATTTTAAAAAATCCAATTTCAGTATCAATGGAGCAGCGAAACTTTGTAGAAGCGATAAACAAGACCCCGGGCTCAGTATTTGTCAGTCTAGTCTCAATCATATCAGTCTGGTCGGTGGTCGGCCTCTCCTGCTTCCATACCTACTTGCTAGCCTCGAATCAGACCACGAATGAAGAAGTCAAGGACACGTTCAGCGATCTTCTAGGCTCATATTGTGGATCTCTCTATTCGACCGGTAATTTATTCACAAATTGTCTGGGAACCCTATGTGCGCCCGAGCCTCCAAGCCTCATCGATCGCCGAGGCAAAATCGAAGCGGTGACAGTGGTTCAAGTCCAGCCAGAATCTCTCGAATCCCACAAACAAATCCAAAGCCTTCTGAATCAGAATCCGCATCGGTTGGGCACGTCGAACTCGGCGCCGAAGATGACCGTGATCCCTCGAAGACATTCCTCAACATCGGTCATATCCTCAACCTCATCCTCTCATCATTCCGAGTACTCTCTGAACTCGTACTCTTCAGATCAAGTACATAAAGCCAAAGATGCTCCAGCTGAACTACATCAAATGTCACTGGAATCAGAGGATGAGAACGTGAATTATAGAGATAATTTAGCTATTGAAAAGGATGATGATCAGCTGGAGAATGGGAACCATGTGGAAGTGAATGTGGTGGGTGGAAAAGGCGATGGTGGCAGGAATGGGTAAGTGAATAGGAAAGAAATTTTAAGATTAACGTATTTTTCAAAAACTAAGACTACATATTATATTTTAAAGTGAAAAAATTTTTGTTTTTGTGGGTTTTAAAATACAGTGACACCTTTTTTAGTATGAACCTCAATAGTGTGGCACTCTTTTTATAATGACAGATTTTTAACCTCTTTTTGTAACTGAACTTTTTATTATTAAAAAATTGGCCTTTTCAAATTTTTTAATATTGTTATCTTTTTTATCATGGAAGATATGTCTATGAAACTATAAGGGTTTACACAGCTTTTTCTGCTTTATATGAGTGATATATAAAAACATTTTTGAAAACTGAAGTTTATATTTAAAAAATTTAAAAACTACACAATGTTTCTTACAAAAATGTAATTTTATGATTTTTAAAGAACAACGAGTTTCTGAGAATATACACTGTCTTCTTTGTCTTGCATGACTTACAAAAGTACAACACGATTTTTGTTTTTTTTTGAATAAAAATTACGTAATCCTCAAAAGTAATCAGATTTCATTGTTTTTGCTATAAATTTTTTTAAAAATAAGCAAGCTCAAAGAACTTTTTATTATATCTATTGATACAATAGACAAACAAAAGTTAGTTTTTTAAAATAATAATAATATATGACGAAGTTACTGTAGTTCTAGTTCTCGTAATTTTTCTGTTTTCGAGGCTTTAACTACGAAAATTCAAAAAAAGTTAAATTTTGCATGAAAAGTAATCGTTTTTTGGGTTTTTAAAACATTTTTTTTTCGAATTAAACTAAACTTTAGGTGTAAGATACGGTTTTTTTAATTTGTAAATTATTAACTAAATATTAATAGTTTATTTTTCAGCTCGCTCCAGACATAAAATCCTCGACTTCCGCTTGGTTCCAAGCTGTTTTGCAATCTCGAAACGACCAAATCTCTATGTCATTTTCACAATTTGGGCAATTTTACAGACTAAAGTGGTTCTTACTATAAGTAACATCTGCAAATGTCATACCAGACATTGATTTCTATAGGAATTGTGATTTTTTATAACTGGATTTTGATTTTTTAAGTAGTTCAAATAATTCTGGGCTCGCTAACTCCAAAAAATTGTTTTAGAAGGGGGCACATAATTATTTGAAAAACTTAATATATATTTAATTGGTCTGGTTATAGGCGAAAGATCATGACTTTAGGTTATAAATCATGATTTTTAGGGGGTTTTAGGCTTGTAATTGATGTTATTGCTTATTGACAACGTCACTTTCGAAGTAAAAAATGTGATTTTGATACAAAAAACGACATTTTCGGATATAAAACATCAAATTATTAGGTTGTATAAAAACTACTGGGCTACTGAACACCATACCGTTATGAAAGACAGCTAATTATTTTTTATACAAGCTAATACATAGGTAGCATCTGTTCTTTTAGCTATAATTAAGTTATACTAGCCTAAATCCAGCTAAAAATTATATTGTAGTAGCCCAGTCTCCTCCCCGTATAGCCCAGTCTCCTCCCCATATGTACATTATCAATACCCAGACGGTTGTGTGTTTTGTTGATTATATAATAAGTTATTGTTACTTTCCCATTTTTCATGATTTTACAGCCTTTACACTCGTTTATTTCGTCAGATATATGCCATATTGTCTTTGATTCCGAACATTTTTTATGAGTTTTTTTTTATCAATTTTAATAATTTTTAATTTGTTTTATTAAATATTTGAAATTATGGTTTGAAATGTTGAGTAATATACGATTAAAGTCGAAAAAATATTATTATACTAGTTTATTGTGAATTGGAAGGAAAGTTTTTATTATATTAAAAGTGTTAAAGAAAGTTCTTGCCACTTTTCGTTTTGTAAAGAAAGTTTTTGCCATTTTTCATTCTGTAAAGAAAGTTCTTGCCATTTTTCGCTTTGTAAAAAACGTTTTTGCCTTGTTTTGAAAGAAAAGTTTTTTCCGCTTTGAAAGAAAGAAAAAATGGGAACAGTGCAGACTGCGTGTGACACGTTATACGATGAATACAATTTTTACTGTTTTTTAAAGCATTTTGTAAGTTGTAAAGAAAGTTCTTGCCATTTTTGACTTTTAAAAAAAGCTCTTGCAATTTTTGATTTGTAGAGAAAGTTCTTGCCATTTTACGATTTGTAAAGAAAGTTTTCTCCATTCTAGTATTTGTAAAGAAAGTTCCTGCCGTTTTACTTTGTACAACAAAAGTTTTGTGATTTTATGGCTAGCCTTGCCGTTCCTCACGTTCTGTAATCAAAGCTCTTGCCATTTTTTGCAAGCAATGAATAAATTTTATTTCCCTATATTATAGTAGACGATGACGTTTTCTCAAACTGCAGTCAACCCCCATAAAACATGAACTTGAACTCCTGTAACAAAATGAGTAATACGCATGAAGAACAAAGGTTACTATAACGTTGCAATGACAAAGTAAAACAAGTGCAAGTCAATCGACCAGGGATTAATGGTCTCATTAATATTGTCATAGGTATATAAAACGACGTTCCTTTTGGCTTCTTCTTAGTTTTTTGGGTTACCTAGGTTCGCCGTGCTTACTCTAGTCTATTTTCATAGTCTTTCTCATAAAAAAGTCTTGTCGTCAATTTATATGCATTTGCAGGGGTAAATACGACAAGACTTTTTGCCAATCTTCAATACAAATATAAATTGTAGTTTATAGTTTGTAAAACATCTGTTATAGCATGAATAAAACAAACAAAGCCGCTTCTTTACATTTCCGTCACAAAGCTTCGAAATATGAGGCACGGAACGGTCAAGACTGTTCTGGAAGCCCTATTCTGACCCTTCTAGAAGTCCTTTTGACCGTTCTAGAAGTTGTTTTTGCGTTTTAAGTATGTTTACAAATAGAGCAGTCTAGAATAGTGTTAAAAACAACTGGACAGCGCTTAGCAGCCTAATGACTATCAAAGAGATTAGTATATATACAAATAGTGACCAGGTGCCATGGATAACATAACTTTTTGAGGGATTTTGAAATTGTTTTGAGGTTTTTGGAGGTAGATTTAGTTAGAAATGATAAACATGATATTTTTGGTCATTTTTAAGTACATTTCGTTGAGTTTTCAAAGATTTACTACAGTAAAGTGACAAAAGATTAAAGGTTAATATTTTTAACCAAAGTTACACTTATCATTTAAAAAAGTTAAAAATCTAAGCCTAAATTTTACTTTTATTAGTTTTTATAAAAAATATTTTTTTAAAAAAGTTGCTTACTCGTATTTTACACTGACAAGACCGTTTTCATTTGGTCCCACCACGAAAACAAACCGGTATGAAACGTGAAGCCAGGCGGAATTTCAACGGAAAAAATGATAAAATTTTTTATTTTTTCGAGCCGTGAAGGCTGAAAAATGCACTCACGGGACTAGATTTCTCAAGGCTAAAATTAGAATTTATATTGTTTTGTTTCGTCAAACGTTATGATGTATTATCATGGATAAAATCACTATATTTAGGATAAATTGGCTATTTTCAGGCAATGTCGACGACATTACTCAAGTCTGGGCTTTTGATAGCCATGGTTCTGTTGACGGCGGTGGCTGGACTGACTCCAATTTGGGTAGGTTTTAGTTTTTTTATTGTTTTTGTGTTTAGGAGAGTTTTAGACAAGGATAAGGTCGTTTTTGGAGGGTTGAAGGGATAGTTTTGGCTATATTGCGATTAATTTTGAAATGAGTGTTGTGTTTATTCGATATTTTGTTACTAAGGAATTTAAAAAACAGTCCAAGTATAGTTTAGAGTTTAAAAACAATAAGTTTTCAAAGATATATAGCTTTTTTGGACTTTGATAAACTACTTTCGGTCATATTCTTATGAAACGTTAAACTATAGTGTTTCTTTTGTGGTCTTTTGTTGCTAAGAAGTTTTAAAAACGTTTAGAATGTAGTTTAGAGTCTAGAAACAATAAGCTTTCATGGTTATAAGGTTTTTTTTATTATAAGATTATGTTATTCATGAAAAAGGTGTTTTTGGTCGTAATTTAGTTGAAAATCGCAAGTTTTAAGTCGTTTTTTATATCTTAGGTTTATAAGGAGTTTAAGCTACCACTTTATATGTTAAATACTTCATTTTGTAACTTTTAACGATATTATCCATGGCGAGTATGTAAAGGTTAAAAAAAGCTCAAAGATAACAATCTGTCTGAACTGAACGTTTAGATCAAACGTGACTGATATTAGCACATTTTTGTAAACGTCTTGCACTATCTCTCCGATCTTAACAAAGCAATCAATCACTTTCCCATGTAATCAAATATATTAATCATCAGTTTTGAATTTTGTGATTTGTCATAGATTTTTGATGATTTGTTTGGGAATCTTAAGATTTTTGGAAAAGTTTTAATATTTATTTAATAATTTTTAATCAGATTTTGGTCTTTGTGTTACTGTTTTTAAAATTTTTGATGTTATTTACACATTTTTGATGATTTTAATATAAACCTCTTTGCAGATCCTTCGAACTCTCCGCAAACGGGCCCACAAACATGGTACAGGCAAGAAGAAGTCCCGTGTATCATTACTGTTATGTTTGCTTACCTGTTTCTCCGCTGGTGTATTCTTGGCGACATGTTTCTTGCACTTGTTCCCCGAGCTCTTCGAACATGTGGAGATGATGAAGGAAACCTATGGATTTGATCCCGACTTCCCCGTAGCTGAATTACTGGCTTGTACTGGGTTTTTCGTACTGTTTTTGGTCGAGGAGTTGGTACTGATTATACTGCCAAATGCTGGACATAGTCATGGAAGCTCGGAGAGCGAAATGGAACGGTAGGCTATGTTAATATTGGACTTTTTTGATTTTAGGAGGATTTATAAGTTTGAAAGAAGGCAGTTTTGATGAAAGCGAAGTTTCTCAAAAATCTAAAGTTCTAATCCTTTGACATCTAAAGTTTAAATTTCAGAAGCCGAAGCCGTGTAGACCAAGTAGGACTCCTAAGAGCGGCGGATGGAGACGATCGTCATCACGGTGGTTTCTCACCAAGTCAACCATCTCAAACCGAAACCCAGAATGTGGCATCGCCTCGACAATGTTCTGTAGCAACGTGTAAAGAAGCCACGATACCAATTATCGCCGAACCAGAACGTTGTGAAGCAAATTGTGCTACTGTCAAGGAATACCCACCTATTATCACACACAGTAGACCACATCCACACAGTCATTCCACACGATCAGTTACGATTGTTTTGGCTATCGCCTTTCATGCCATCATCGAGGGATTGGCACTGGGAGTTCAGGTGGGATATTGTTTTAGGTTGTTTGTTATGTTGTAGTAGATATTGAGGTTAGAAATTGAGATTTTTTGGGTATAAAAGGCACGTCTAATCAAGTTAGAGCTTAGGTTAAAATTGGAGACGATAAAAATAATTTTGAAGTATCTTATCATAACAAAAATTAAAATCTTGACTAAATACAGCGTTTCATACCTATATTAATATAAATCCCATTTTTAGACAGATCCGGCCAAAATATGGGCAATATTCATATCCCTAACGGTTCACAAGCTCATAGTAGCCTTTTCAATTGGATTGCAGCTGGCTAGAACCCATGCCCATAGCCTGAAATGGGTTATATTATCCATGGTTCTAATAGCCTTTATGACCCCGATTGGAGGTGTGATAGGCATGCTGGTAAGACATGCATCGATGAATGCCCAACTCCAAGACACAATCATATTGATTTGTCACGGATTAACGGTGGGAACGTTCCTCTACGTAACGTTCTTCGAAGTATTAATACACGAAAGAGACAACGAGCATCCAAATCTGCTTAAAGTAAGTTTGAAATGTCAGTTTAAATGTAATCCAATCATTTCCAGCTCCTAGCCATGGTCATAGGATTCACATTGATCGGCATCATCCGTCTATTAACCCACGGCCACTCGCACGGCCATTCTCATGAACATCATCACGAGGATCACGACCATCATGATCATCATTAGCTGCTTTACATGAGCGTATCTCTTCTCAACATACTGGTAGACTCAATCACTACGCATAACACATACTAATGACTTTTTTGTTGAATATTTTTGAACTTATGTTAAGTACAGTACCTAAAACAAGGCGTTTTTGAGGGTTTTGGAGCTAAAGGTACATAACTTTACATTTCATTATCTAAGCATTTTGATTATAGATTATTGTAAATTTTTTTATTGAAATTGTAATTTCAATTTGATATTGTAAACTGATTTTTCTCTCTTGCCGTCCTCAACATGCACAATTTCGTATTGTCAAGTTGAAATCCGCCCTTTTTTGTCATCATGACGCATTTTTTTGCCATTCCGAAACATATACCCACGTCTATATCAAAAGATAGTATAATACCCAGTTTTAAGTAGTATAATACACTTGGACAGAAGTATAATTTACAGTGTACGCAGTATAATATACAGTTTAAATTGTGTGATATACGATGAAAACAGTGTAATATAAAGTTTACATTGTATGACATACAGTCAAAACAGTATAATTCTTCACGATCCTTCAGCTTTATCGAATTTTTTAATGTTATCTACGCAAATTCGTTCTAATAGCTCTCTAATAATGTCGTTTTTAAATTTTTAATAAATGATAACAAATATGTTGTAATATTTTATCTTGGTTGTGTTGTCCAAAGTGTGTTTGTGTATTACTATTAATATCTCTGTCCATTTTTTTATGTTTTCTTTATTTTCTGAAGCTTTTTCGATATTAAGTTAGGCTACCATTCGTCTAGAAAGAACTGGTATTTTACAAACAACAATCAACCTTTAATCCATCAAAACAACACTTTCTAGAATTCGTACGTAATAAGTGATTTAACCGTAGCACCGTTCAGGACCTCACGACCCTTGAGACCAGTCAATTCGACCAAAACGAACGCCTCACCAGCATCACATTGCGCCGTTTTCAACAAATCAAATGCCGCCTTCAACGTTCCGCCAGTAGCCAAGAGATCATCAACGAGGAGGACACGAGAATGAGGAGGAAGCACGTTCTTTTGGATCTCAATAATGTCCTGAAGATTGGGGACATTAGCGGATATTGAGGTAGGTGGATGTTTGATACGAATTTTTGATGGGAAAATAGATAAATGAGAGAGAATGAGGTTAAATTTTTGATTGTTAAAAGAGGAAGGTGTCACCTACCTCGCCATATTCCTTTTTATATGTGGCATGAATGGTTTCACCAGGTAATTTGCCCTTCTTCCTGATAGGCACAAATGGGACACCCAAGTTGATCGAAACTTGTGGGCCAAGCAAAAATCCTGAAAGTTTTGCCATTTTAAAGTGCGTACAAAATGTTTCTAACCTAAAACCCAAGAAAAAGCCATGTTATCCATGGCAAACCACTTACCTCGCGCTTCCAATCCAGCTACCGCGTCTACTTTCCCCCTATAGTTCTCGGCAATCTTTTCGCACAGCTCCTGCACTAATTTAGGATGGTTGAAAATTGGTAAAACATCACTGAAAGTGAAATATAAGTCTATAAGGTCCAAAAATATGTTGTTATAGGCAAAAAATAGCGACTTACTGGAATAAAATGCCTTTTTTGGGGAAGTCTGGATAATCCTTGGTAATGTCCAATATTTTCTGTTTTATATTGGAGAAATCAACCATTTTTAATTAGTACAACCGTGGTGGAAGACTGATAAGACGAGATAAGAAACATTTTGCGACTTTTTCGCGGAATTTATATTTTCTGTGGCGCTTCGTTCACTTGGCATTGGGTTTTGGTGGCTGTCTGTGGGCTTGACGAGTTTTTGGCGGAAAAGGTTTAATCATTAAGTGTTTTTGAGTTAAAATACGATGTAGAAGACATTTGTGCTATATTAAAATTAATTGCTGTCTGATCTACTACAACATAGTCTATTGCTCTAAAAGCGCTGCGATTTTTAACAAATACAATAAAAATTAATCACAACTACAATAGTAAGAGTTTATAGTCTTTAAATAGCACAATACATAAGAATAAAACGGCCAAATATTAGCGGAAAATCTTGATTCTCTGTTCGATGAGCTCTCGGCAATAATGGCATCGTTTGATCTTGTCGGCACAAACTGAGCAAGCACGATGTCCACAGCCAAAAGCAATGTCACATTTGGCGTCGAAACAGATCTGGCAGTCCCATTGATTACGAAGATCTTCGAGTTGACGTTGCATTTCTTCCAATTGACGTTCTGAAACGATTTTTGTTATATTAATGTAGGGGATTTGGCTATAATTTTTTTTACAGATACGCTAATTTAATTTTGTAAAATACGAATTCATGAACTGTTTCACAATAATTTTAAGTTAGATTTTATTAACTTTGTTTGATTTTTTTGTTTAGTTTTGTCAAAAATTGTCTTTTATACACCAAGGTTTCAGTGGACAGTATGGAGGTAGATTGTTTTTAATCATAACTTTTTTCCAAAAATAGGTGGTAATTTGAGAATTCTCATAATTTTGGGTTATATAATTTGTCAACTCAGTATTTGATCAAAAATATAAAATTTAGATTCTTTTCGAAGCTACAGTATTTCTACCATACCAATATTTTTCATGATTTTTAGTCTTCTTCCTTAACTAAAGTTGAGATTTATGGTCTTTAAGTTAAAACTTTAGCCATTTTGTCTAGTATATATTAATATAGGTATCAATAACGTATAAAGAAATTAAAAATAATTTAGTTTGATTGTCTTACCTGCTTGAAGCTGTTCATCCAACTTGGAGAAGACTTTCATTTCCGATTCAGCCGGTGCGTTCATACTGTAGAAGAATTTGAGATCGGCTGAAAATGAGGTTTTTCATTGCTATCTATAGGTTGTTAAGGCAAGTTGGGTAGTAGGGCAAGGTATGGTACAGTAGGGTAACGTAGGGTCGGGTGTGGTAGAGTAGGGTATACTAAAGCAGGGTATAGTAGGGTGTATTAGGGTAGGGTAGGATAGAGTAGAGTATGGTAGAACAGGGCCTACTAGAGCAAAGTAGGTTACGGTAGGGTAAGTAAACATTAATTCATCTACTATACGTTAGTCCAACTAAAACCTTTCCTTACCCTAATACTATCTCAGGTATACCCCTTACCTCTCTACTCTACTTTATTTTACCCTACTCTACCTTTCCCTACCGTATGTAACCCTACCCCACTTCACCCTACCATACTCTATTCTACTTTACTATACTCTACTCTATCCTGCCTTACCCTAACATACCCTACCGTACTCTACGCTCTGTATCCTGCCTTACTGAACTTTTACGTAACCAAGCTAGGATTGGTTACAGTAGAATTACAGTTAGACTTTGTCTAATATAAGATAAGTAAAGTCGAAACAAACTTACGAATCCCAGCGAAGCACTTAAAGTTCTGCATGCACTTTGTACAATACCCAGGTATATTCTGATGGTCTTGTTCGTACTGCGACTTTTCCATGTCCAAATGACAGCATTGTGCACAAAATGGATGTCCACATGGGTAGGCAATCAGAACCGCGATGTTTTTGCAATTATTCACACATTCCGTGTAGCGAGCGTTAGCTGGCTGTTTCTTCGGCACTTTTAAGTTTGGCGGGTTCTGCGGTGGAATTTGGGTTCGGCCGCCACGCATTCGTACTGTTGCATTGCGGTGTGGTACTGGCTTGGTCTGGAAAGTTAAACTATATTTTAGTTTTGAAAAAGCAAGAACTTTCTTTACAGAACTGAAAATGGCAAGAATTTTGCTTAAAAAACAAAAAATGGTAATAATTTTCTTTACAAGTTATAAAATGGCACAAAACAAAAAATGGCAAGAACTTTCTTTACAAGACAAAAAACCGTAATAACTTTCTTTACAAACTATAAAAATAAAAAAAAGCTTACAGTGCAAGTAGTGGTGATAAGCGGCTTCGTTCCTCTACCCAACGGATTTTTGGTGACTTCAAGGGTCCTGTTGAATGAAACAGATCCATGTCGATCTTCATCTGAGATGATCGGTTGAGGCTTGGTCACGGAACGACAAAAGCGACGGTTCACCACACGGTTCATCGAGAACGAGGAAGCTGAAAATATTGAAATTTTAAATATTTTTTTGAGGAAAATTAAAATGGCAGGAACTTTGTTTACAGGATAAACAATGGCAAGAACTTTCTTTACAAATCTAGAAATGACAAGAACTTTTTTTACAGCACAAAAAATTGCAGAATTTTCTTTACAATTTTAAAAAATCATTTTAAATTTCAAAAACACAAACTTACTGCTCATTTTGGATAAGAAAAATGATTCCAGCGACTTTTCTTCGACCGGTAAAAACAACGAAATGAAACGTTTTTTCTCATGAATATTTTGGAAACAAGACGTAAGAAATACTAAATTTGCATAATGGATAAAATTTTTTGTTTTTTGATTTTAAAAGACAATATTAACACTTTCTTCAGTTTGAAAGCTGAAAAATGGCAAGGACTTTTTTTACCAAATATAAACTGACAAGAATTTTCTTTACAAGTCATAAAATGACAACAACTTTCTTTACAAAACTGTAGATAGATTTCTGGGTAAAAAACGCGTCTAGTAAAATAAGTTACTAGTTTTAATTATTAAAGTTTATTTATCTGTTTAAGGTTACAGCAGCGATGATAATATAGATTATAATATGACTATAAGATTACCATAAAGAATGATAAGAAACGATTCCTTTTAAAGGAATCAAAGTGATAAATTTAATGTGGTTTGTCATAAAGTAAATAGACAAATTTTAGAACACAATAGATATTAATGTGATATTTAAAAAGACATTAAATGTTAATGTGAAATATTGAATATGATTTGTAATGTTTGCTTTATTATTAATATCGAATTTCTAGATATTTCTAGAAGTTTCGACATTCCCGACAAGAAGAAATGTTTTACAATAATATTACAATAACAATAATACGAAATTACTTACTATAATATTAAAATAATAATGACAGAAAATAATTATAATACTAAATGAATAATAAAATTGAAGGTTATAAAACTGTAAGATTTAAGAATATAATACTGTACTTACAATTACCATACAATTTAATATGTTCTTCGGCAAAGGGCTGAGTTGTGGCTCGTGGTGAAGCAATGGCGGCAGAATCCTTCCACTCGGCAATCATAGACTTTGTGTCCGACATTTAAACACTTTCCACATATATTATAGGTGTTAAGACAGTTAAACCGGTCTTTCCAATTTGGGAATTCTGTACAATCACAGGATTTGTGATCATGTTGTAGGCACAATTTACAATATTATAAACATCTTGAGCGGCCTGTGGACGAAGAGTTGCTAATTCATTTTCTAATTCTTCATTAGTAACAATAAGTTCATGTAGTGACCGTTCATTGGCTACCATTTCATCCCTTAGATCTCTAAGTTGTTGATCGTGTTCACTTATGAGATTGGCGATCTGTTGGTCGCGTTCGGCAATTATTGCCTTACAGTTATATAGTCGATCATTATTGATGATGGCCATGGACGAAAATTCAAATCTCAGACCGAACAATCTTCTTACGGTGTTGTACGACTCTGGTGAGATGCAAGCCAACGCAGCACATGTGAAGGCAGCAGTTGGGAGCAATTCATTCGTTGCCTCTTTCCAGGAACCGAAGTACTTCGGATCAACGGGGAAACTGCTAAAAACTTCAGTGCAGCCACAAAAACGAGCCACTTCTGATCCTCTTCCTTCGATTTTGAAGTTGGCCAAGACTGTCGTGGGGTTTCGTACCAAAGCTCTCATAAAATAGAGTGACAATGCCAAAACTTTCTCGACATTCCCAGCACAACTGAGCAGAAAGTCGATTGTGTCTGTCTTGACGTTGTTGTCCTTGTAGTAGTGAGAGAAGAACTTTCTCAAAAAGGTTTCAATCAATTGCTTTCCTTGCACGCTCTTGGATGAAGCGATGAACCCTCGTAATGTAGTCACCGTGCCAAAAAAATCAGTGGGTTGGACTGTGGAGCACTTCTTGTGGTACTCGGTGAATGTGCCGATGTCATTCCAATTAACCACAACGTTTTTTACGACACATCCATGGACCAGAGCAGCTTGGAGATATAGAGCATACACTATTGGACTTGTCGGGGACGCGTCACTGGTAGTTTCATGAACAAAGACTCCCAATGCGGCCAGCAGGATAAACTTGAATTCATCGTCAGGCACAACAATTGCATCTTTCAGTGCCTCCTCCCATGCGAACAACTCCATCTCGATTTGGATTGCCTTCCCTGTCTTTCATACTCTCCGAAACGATTAATCCCTTCAAGACGTTGACAATAGGATACTTGGACTCCAGGCAATCCTTGAACGTTAACCACTTTGGCTTTGATGTTGATCCTCTCAAAGAGATATTGGGGACAGCTTTCTCGCAATAATCGTCCAAGACCTTGGTCTTCAATTCATCGTTGACAACCTTTGGATTGGTTTCACTTGCTGACATTGCGAATCGCTGGAAAATTGATGCTTCTGATGTAACAACATGTAAACATAGTTTAGTTCACCGGCTGAGCCCCCATGTCATAAAATTATTATGAATATTAGTAGTATTAGCTAAAGTTACAGTATTTAAAATATTTATTTATCCAAAAATATAAAATACGACCGACCCGCGGTCTAGTTGGTTAGAGACTTCTTAGTTGTTTTTGTATTTCTTAACTCGCAACTTCGCGACAATCATGTAGAATTGTAGGAATACTTGGGGGATTTGCCATTTTCAGAACAATTAATAAATGCTAAAATAAATTAGCATGTAAACATAGTTTACGTCTCATAGTATTATTATTTTGCTCTATCTTCTTACGTAAACCAACTACTTTGAGTTATAATTGTTGATTTGACACACTATATTGTTGTATAGATCTTTATTGGATTCCATTTGATGTCGTAGATTACGCATTTCCAGATTACGTTTGTTTATTGTTTTATTTCAAACGGTGTACGTTTGTAAACCAGCTACGATAGTCATCCAAATTATCCAAATCCATGGTTTCGGTTAATGCGTCAGTAGCGTATTCGATGAGGTCGGTCAGGAACTCATGATGATTAACTGTCTGTTGGTCATGAATTAGGACTACGGTCAGATCTTAATTTGGTCGTTCTATTCATCGAATAAGTCTTCTTGATCCGTGTGGATTTATTTGATGCATGTCGATGTCTGTGAAGATAATCTTATTGAACAAGAAACTCCAATCGTTATTGTCCTGAGTAGGTCTACCGAACGCGTGTCTTTTACTCGGGTTAGTCGTCCAGTCCTACGTTCATACTCAAAGATTGTTTCATTGAGTGACATTGCAATTGTTTGATTACAGGTTTCTTCAGACACTTTTTGAGAATGAAGCGTTTCTGAATGACGGTCGAGATACCAAGTGACTTCTAATATAAGTATCGAATGTTTTTCAAATTGATTGGAATAGAACTTCTTTCACTTGGGAGGAAAGTGATTTCTGATATGACTACGATGTGGCAAAATTCACTTTTGATGACTTCATCGTTGAGATTGGAAGCGATCACATCGCTTCCAGACTCAAAAATGAATTCAAACAATAGATTTAACACTGAATACAATTTCTTTACAATTATAAAGCCTTTTATGAAATATAGTAAGTATATCAGGTACATTATTCAATGTAGAAAAAAATGTAGTTAATTGTGAATAAAATTGCAACATTAGCTTTTCAGTAGAGTTATAGCTTAGTACAGTAGTATTTTGGTCTTTATCGTTTATTGTCCATGTTGTTAAGCTCAAACTTGGGTTTATAAACCATATATATATGTATCATATTTATATATATTTATTATATTTATATATATATGTATTATATTTATATATATGTATTATATTTATATATATATGTATTATATTTATATATATCTATTATATTTATATATATGTATTATATTTATATATATATGTATTATATATGTATAAGATAACAAAATATATACGTATATATAACATAACACGAAAAAGAATTATAAAAAACAATATCAAAGTCCCCCCCCCCTCAAAAGACCCCAGACTTGTGTTGTAGTAAGTAGCTGACCTTGCTAGGCTTTTATACACCTGTTTACAAATGGATTGATAACTTTAAATAATAGTGTCTGGCGCGGGCCACCCACGACTTTTGACGCGGCCACCCAAAGCGCTTGCAAACTTCCCGAAAGGTCAACTAAACATCGATTGTTTTCTTTGCAAATCTGCTAATTGGCTAATTTGCAACAGTAGTTAAATTAGCGTAGTAAAATGTAGTTTTTAAAAGATATAGTGCGACCAAATACATGAAACGTGGCAAATGAAGAAAACATTGAGATCGAAAAAGCAACTATTAATCAAGATAATGAACTTTTACTTAGACGTATTAAGAGACTAGCACCCAAAACATACTTTATTACAATAACAATATTTTTAACTATACTCATCCCCACAGTAATAACAAACTAATAATCAAAGCCAGTGTTTTACCGGAGTCCGCGGACGGATCCCAACAAAAATTATTGCGCGCCGGACTCAAAAACTTGCGGACCGAAAAAAAAGCTCTGGACCGGTCCGAAAACTAAAATTCTTAATTTTAATAAAACTGTTTTAAAAATTGCAAATAGAATTATCTTTAAGAGTTTTTAAAGGACCAGTTCGCCCATTCAAATATCATTGGCATTTTGTCGAAAAAAGCGTTGAAAATCATGCAATTTCAATCAAAATCATTTTTCACAAAAAACGTGAGTGGGTCGGTGTCGAAATGAATTCTCCAATTTGGGACCGGCCTGCTCAGGTTTTTTGCGAAAAAAAATGAACGTCAAATTTTTGCGACAGAATGCCAATGATATTTGAACGGGCGAACTGGTCCTTTAAGCAAAAAGAAAGCAGTTTTAGCGCTTTTTGCTTTTTTTAAAAATGAAAAAAAAATTTTTTTGCGAACCGGACCGGATTCAAAAATTTGAAGTTTGGACCAGACCCGAAACTCACTGGACCGGACCGATGAAAAACGCTCCGGACCGGTCCGGGCATAACATTGGTTAGAGCAAATAACATAAAAACTATAAATCCTACCTTAAGTACTACAGTGTTCTCTCTATATAGTCAACCATCTGTATAAGCAACTCTCCTTATGTGTACGAAAAATTCCGTTCGCCATGTCAACTTGCACTAAAAATCGCTCTATAAAGCTCTATAATACCCGCTATATGTAGTAAACACAAATGTCCTTTCAGATAGAGAGTACTGTATTACCATTGCAACAACGACTATTATAATAAATACTAACGAGTGTTCCGCAGACTTTTGTTCTCCTTGGCGTTTTGAATCTTGTTCCCAACATTAAAAAATAGGAGTTTTTGTACGGCTATCTATAGCTATCATATTTCTACCCGCTATAATCAGTTTATCATCTATTACATCTCTAACATGCCAAATTAAAAAAATAATAATTCACTCTACATTTTCTAAAGCTTTCAAGACATTACCAGTAAAAACGAGGAAAAATCTATATAAATACCTTCGATTCACGCGAAAACCCATAACAAGCTTTATCGTCCGTATCGACGAGTAATGACGTTGGGCATTTCTTTTTATGTTTACCTAATCCATAACATATAAAGCTGCATTAAAATAAAGATAGAATAATACAAATTAAATCGTTTTTTGTTTTGTAAAGAAAGTTCTTTCCGTTTTTTGTTTTGTAAAGAAAATCCTTGCCATTTTACATGTTGTAAAAAAAGTTCTTGCAACTTTCTGTATTTTAATGAGAGTTCTTGCCATTTTTGTTCTTTAAATAAAATTCTTGCAATTTTCTGTTTTGTAAAGAAAGTTTCTGCCATTTTATACCGACAAATATTCAAATTTCAATAATTTTAATCTTTAATATTGGTTGAACAATGTGTATATCATATTCTTCATCACTCTTCCTTCCTCGAACCCATAACTTTTGCATGCCGTAGGGTTTTAATGAGTTTTTGGGCCGTTTGAATTGGCCAAAAACACTTTTAACTTTTGCCGAAAGTGAGGAATTTGATTCGGGAATGGGCTTGATCTTGTCATAACATACGACCGTGGTAGTTTTGATTTTTAATTTTGGGCCGGTTTAGGTATTTATTTTGAAAGAAATAGCAGTAACTTTGACTGTAAGATTAAAAATGGCAAGAACTTTTTTTACAAACACAAAATGCTAAGAACTTTCTTGGCAATACATAAAATGGCAAAAACTTTCTTAACAAAATACAAAATGGCAAACACTTTCTTAACAAAATACAAAATGGCAAAAACTTTGTTTACAAAACATTAAATGGCAAGAACTTTTCTTATAAAACAAAAAATGGCAAGAACTTTCTACCCAAAACTTTAATTTTTGGTTTTTGTATAACTTCTACAGGCTGCAGGGCACTAAATTTCGTTATTTTATGAATAAATCGCAATAACTTTCTTTATAAAACCAAAAATGGCAAGAACTTTTGTGCACTAAGATATGATTTTTTACGCAAAACTTTTTAAAATTTTAAAATTTTGAGTTTTTGTTTAAATTTTTACAATATTAAAACAGGTTTAGTTTATAACCAGGCCCATAATGATGATTGTGGCCAAGCTCTCTCGAATCGAAAACATAATTTTTTATTCGCTCTCGAAATTGTTGAGCCACAAACTTTTTAACAATAAAAAATGATTTCCTTCCTCTTCCACTCACTATTATATTCGATTAGTCATCTTGATATATATTTCTTGGTTTTTAGTCAAGGAATAGCTGGTTTAATTTTGGCAATTTAGCTTTGGTTAATTTTGTGTCTTTCTTATGTTTGTTTTTATTTAGGGAGGGGTAAATTGATATATAGGCTTGGAATTAGTTCATATAGTTTTGTTTGAAGAAAGTTATATTATACATAGCTATTTAGGTCTAAAAGTTATTACAACTTATAGGAAGAAGAAGAAAAAGAGTAGAGGAACTTTTGACAAATTTTTAAATCTGGTGCCGAATTTAAATTTGATTTTAAAATTTTTTAAAAGGCATGGCCAAATTTTCCTATTTTACTTTACTCTATCTGGCCATTTCTTAATTTACTTTATCCTGCTTTACGATTCTCTATTTTACCTTACACTTACTTTTACTTTACTTTCTTACCCTATTGTACCTTGTCTTAACTTACTGTAACCTACTTTATCTTGCTCTGTCTTTCTCCTAAGTTACTTTCTCATATCCTAGTACAACATCCCAACCCACTTT